TCGAAAGTCCAATGAAACGATGCAAATTTGGAGCAAAGCAAATACGGACCTCAAAATTTAGAGGTGGGATCAGGTGCCATGGAGGAGTGAGCATCCTCTGCCGACCGGTCACACCCGCCGTGTGCTCCTTGTCATGATCGGGGGGAAAAACGGAAAAATCCGTAGACAGTTCAGTGTATAAATAATGGCCTAACAATTAGTATGAAAAACGTCAGTCAGCATTTGACTCAATGATAGGTTGTATGTGCTGATAAGGTCATTGTATCGACCGTAAAACTTGCGAAATGATGACTTCAACAAGACTGTTGATATCCTTGTTTCATCAACTTGTTTGTTAATAGCTTGCCTCGTTTTAGAAATTGTTCATACGTAGAGCATGCCCCTGCGTATCGAATCAACTGAGAGACATAAACCCCATATGCAGGTGATAAGGATATATTGCTACATATGTAAGGGAAGTTGACGATTGAAAGTTTAAGTCATCACGTTTATCATAAAGCTTTGTTGTTAGGTTACCATTAACGTCTTTTTCTAGTAAAATATCTAAATATGAAACAGATGTGTCAGAATCTGTGATATCTTTTATTTCAAGCTCACTGGGATATATCGAGTCGACATATGAATGAAAGTAACTATTGTTAATTGATAATACGTCGTCGATATATCGAAATGTCGAGTTGAAGGCCACAGCAAGTGTTTTCTTCTCATGTAGAAGTTTTTGAATAAATTCTGCTTCATATGAATACAAAAACAGGTCTGCTAATAACGGAGCGCAATTGGTACCCATCGGAAATCTAACAGATTTTTGGAAAGCCTGGTCTCCAAAGACCACATTGATATTGTCAATCAGAAACTCAATCTTTTTAATATAAACTTCAGAGTACTTGTGTGTACAATCAGAGTGGTTTTTAACAAAATAATTTTGTAAATGACCAATGACAAGGTAAGTATATATTGACGAGTTCCATTTTTATCCAAAAAAATCATTAATAGGATATTAATCACTGACAGATCACTGACATCAAGAAAAAGGCACATTTTGGTCTTATTTTGAATGGATTGCAAAAATAGCATCATTTCAGACGACATTTATGAGTGCACATAAGTGAGAAATAAATATTGAAAATATCTCGAATATAAACTCTTTTACAAAACTAAAAAAAAAAAATTAAAATAAATTAACATAACTGAATCGCATTTAAAAATGTTGATTTACGAGGGGTTAACAAAAAGTTGGTTTACTGATGCGATAAAATTAATAGTATGTAGTCTGTGCTGACAAAATTTATAAGTTTGTAATTTCGTAAGTTCTATGGTCGATACAATGACCTTGTCGGCAAATACAATTTATCATTGAGTCAAATGCTGACTGATTGTTAGGCCATTATTTACACACTGAATTGTCGACGGATTTTTCCGTTATTTTCCGATCATGTCAAAGATCATGTCAAGGAGCACACGGCGGGTGTGACCAGTCGGCAGGGGATGCTCACTCCTCCATGGCACCTGATCCCACCTCTGATGTTTTGGAGGTCTGTGTTTGCTCTGCTCCTATTTTTATTGTTTAATGGACTTTCGAGCTTGAATACTGTTCGTTATCTCCATATATTTCATAAAGAACATAAATCAACAAAAGTTTAATAAATGTTGAAAATTTTAACTTGATACGTTGATAATTTGCCAAATTATTCTAAAATAAAAAAAGAGATTATATGATCACCCGGTGCTGTCGCCGTTTTGTTTCTTCATGTCCGACAGCGTCATTGTTTCTCAATGTCCGCTCTCTCTCTACCTCATACACTTATCTTGATGAGATTACCTGGAGTTAAGTAAGGACGTAAGCCCGCTTTGTTTATATGACTTTACACTGTCATGAACAACTGCTTTCAATGCATATAATATTGTAAATGAATCAATACTATTGGAAAGATCCTCACTTGATTATGCCAGAAAACTTAGCTTTGTTGAGTTCATTTTCTACCACACATGATCAACGTCACTTTTTGACGTGACTGACTTTTGACACCCTGACTACAAATCGACATTAACTGTGCATCTTTTATCTCTCTGAATCTTTTTGGGTATTTAAAATGGGTACTCTAGATGCATTTTATTTTTCTGTAGCCCGTTTAAACATTCCCTAGGTCTATATCAATTTTTCCAGGTGCGAAACTTTATAGAATGTTGGAAATAGAAAACCATCCCCCATTTTGACGTCATTTTCAAGCCCTTAATTGTTTGGACACTTCATATAAAATTAACGATAAAATTTCACAGAACTTACAGAATGGGGTAAAATTGCAAATTGTTTTGTACCACATGGCTAAATTAACGGGATTTTTGATGACAAATGCTATATAAAAAGAGTTGTTCTCAGTTACACCCAGGTAGAAAAAATAGAAAAAAAGTCATATTTGAGGTTGCGCCGCCTGGACATACCATTGCTTACAAAAACATTAACAATTTATTAAAAAATAAATTTATGATTTATAGTTTTGAAAAGATGACGCTAATTAAATGTGTTAATATTCATTGATGTACTTAAAGCGATTTTAATTTTATGGCGCTAGTTTGATAACCCCTCGTATGGGGGCTAAAATTGTTCTTATCATATAAGGTCCATTGTGATAGTTTGTAGTGAAGAACTTCAAATTTAACTTGTTTTATAGGCAGCATTCATTTTGATTTGCAGTCCACACAAATGTTGTAAAATTGTGACAAGATGGAATATTTAACCAAATTTCCCCAATTCTGATGGAATTTTGTCAAATTTGAGATACTTTTCACTTCGGGTAATATAGAGCAAAAGCTTACATATCTGAGATTTTCATACACAAGATGTATCTGATACTCGTTCATGAAATATTTAAATTTGGTAGAAAGGATAGCTTGTGCTCTGTATCCTCTGATACAAAATGTGCTTTAAAATTTATGAAAACTATAATGAAAAGTAGAAATTTCGGAAATTGGTAAATTTTGTGACCTTCCTGTAACCTGTGTGTATCATATAACTTAAAATCAATGCTCTTTTTATCACATGGATGACAAGAGGTTTCTGATAATGAACAAATCTAAGAAAGGCCCCAAACCAGGGGTCAGGAAGGGACCTTACCCTAAATTGTCCTTTGAATCTAAACTACTAGTAGATGCTTGCAATCACTATGACTAACCGTGACCCTACTTTTCTTCAGATTTTTAAAGGTTTATGTCTATATATATAACTTTTTTGCCTATTTTGGCCCCATTTTACCACCTGGGAACTCCGGCTTTTCTCCCATAAGTTTGAACTTTCATTGTGGTCCCACCCTATCCCCGGGGGTCATGATTTGAACAAATCTGAATCTACACTACTTGAGGATGCTTCCATATAACTAATCATTGCTTTTCTGTTCTTGAGAAGATTTAAAAAAAATCCTATGTATTCTTATGTATAACTTTGCTCTTCTATTGTGGCACCACCATGCCACCCGGGGGTCATGATTTGAACAAACTGGAACCTACATTACCTGAGGATGCTTCCAAATAGATAATGACCAATCATGGCTTTGCTGTTCATGAGAAGATTTTTCCTATAATCTCCTATGTAAAACTTTGATTGTCCATTGTGGGCATGTCCTACCCACCAGGGTTATGATCTGAACAAATATTAATTTACAATACCTGAGGATGCTTCTATATAAATATGACCAATCATAGCTTTGTTGTTCTTGAGAACGAGATTCTTTAAGATTTTTCCTATATAGTCCTATGTAAAACTTTGCTCGTCCTTTGTGGCCCCACTTTACCCTCGGGGTAATGATTTGAACAAATTGGAATCTACACTATCTGAGGATGCTACTACATAAATATGACCAATCATGACTTTGCTGTTCTTGAGAAAATTTTTCCTATACATTCCTATGTTAAAAAATTTTCGTCCATTGTGGCCCCACCCTACCCCTAGGGGTCAAGGTTTGAACAAACTTGAATCTACACTACCTGAGGATGATTCCACATAAGTTTCATCTTTCTTGGCCTAGTGGTTCTTGAAAAGAAGAATTTTAAAAGATGCCATTAATTATTTTACTAATTTGTAATTATCTCCCCTTGGAAGAGGGCGTGGCCCTTCATTTGCGCAAACATGGATCCCTTTTACCCAAGAATACTTTGTGCCAAGTTTGGTTGAAATTGGGCCAGTGGTTCTGGAGAAGAAGATGAAATTGTGAAAAGTTTACAACGACAACGACAGACAACGGACAAATTTCGAACAGAGATACTCACATGAGCCATCGGATCAGGTTAGCTAAAAACCAAAAAAAAAAAAAAAAAAAAAAAAAACAAAACAAAAAAAAAAACAAAAAAAAAAAAAATAAGAAAAAAAGAAAGGAAGAAAGACCCCCCCCCCCCCCAAAGGTGATTTTAGTTCTTAGAACTTAAAACATTTTGCAAGCGAATACAAGATAGCACAGATATTATATATTTTCACTTTAAAGATTTCAGGAACTGTCCAGATATATAACAAAGATTTTTTTGTCTTCATATTTAAGGATGTATTGTGCTGAAAAAACGTGCATTTAACTTTTAAATTTTGGCACTTTATTTCGATGTATTCATTATTTGAAACAAAATACATCTACGAAGTAGAAAAATATGAGTTAGTGAGCATATTTTTGAGATACAAGGCATTGAAAATATGGCGGGAAACCAGACTTCTTCGGATGAATGGAAAATTTCTTTCCCTGGAAATTTATGAATTGGAATTAAACCTTTCTTATTATTTTTCAGAAGACTCTCAAAACTACAAAGAGTCAAAATGCGAATAGATAATAGAGGGTAAGTGGGCAAAAAATTATGCATATTTCGACTGATAAAACCAGAGGAGTCCGTAAAAATGGCTGACACCTCAGCATAATACATCCTTAATGAATTATATCAACACTATTGAAGTTTGATCCGGCTAAATGCCCAATATTCGTTAAAACAGCAGAGTATCTTTACAGTCTCTTGTAAATGCTGAAAGATTTAGCCTTTAGAATCATTTATTGACAATGGTATGTTTAAAATAAGAAGTAAAAAATACAAAGTAGAGATGAAAGTGTCAAAGGATCTTCATTGTTCTCCTTAAGATTGTTAATATTTTCAAGTTGTCACTAAATGCGGGGCGGAAAACAGAACAGCCAGAGTAGATATAACAGTAAAGGTCACACATATCCAGAGACAGAGGCGATCAATCACCATGGCAGCGAACCGCCATTCCCCCCTCACTATAACTTCCTCCTCCTCTCTCTTACACCTCGTTGTGATTTTCCTCAGTTCTCTTAAAATCGATAAAAGGTCTGATTTTGTACTCAGAAATGGGGAATCTCCGGGTTTGGGGACAGCTCCGTTTTCCAATCGGATTTCATCTTCAAACTCAAGTCCTGACAGAAGACACCTTGATTGTCGTTCTTGGACCACGATGTCATGGAGACGCGTCCTTTCTATCGTGTCGTTGGTATGTTTGTGTTTTTGCTGTCCAGGGCGTTTCATCAATAGAAGCCAGGCAAGTCGTCCGTTGATCCATTCGTTCACCTAAATTTCAAAAGATCTTTAAGGCCACTTGTTAAAAAAAATTCTTGAAAAAATAATAATCGTAAAAATAGATACTAAATCAAAGTTAATATAAGTAAAATTTATAAGTTAAGTCGCATTATTTTTTTTCTCAAAAATTTTCAACGATGTCCTAGAAATGAAAGGTAGAGGTAACGAACTGTGATCAATCTCATAAATCCTGCCGATAAATGAAATACTGCCAACTTGGCGTTACTCAATAATCAATCAATCTGTAAACAATATGAATGGTGAAAAAGACAAAAACACGGCCTCTTGAAACACTATAGGTGAAAACACTCTAGGTGCCTAGGAGGAGCAAGCATCCCCTGTCACCGGCCATACCTACTACGAGCCATCTGTATTAAACCGGTAAACGGAGTAATCCACATTCAAAATTAGAATATTCACTTAACAATTGGCATGGAACATGTCAGTCAAAATACCACCCAGTGGTATGTTTTATTTGAAAACTAGACCATTATAGCAACCATAAAATTTGCAAAATGCTGACTTTAACCGAAAAATGTAGAGAGCCATTTAAATAAATTTATTTGTCAGTAGCCTGTTTCAGTTTAAATATTGATCTTACACAGAACATGATCTTGGGTATTAGTTGGTAGACATAGATACTATATGCAGGTGATAATGGGATATTACTACATGAATAGGGGAGGTTGATGATGGAGAAATTGAAGTAATCTGTTTGTCATGTAGTTTAGTTATTAGTTTGCCATTAACATCTATAGTCAATAAAAATCCAAATATGAATCAGATGTGGCAAACACTCTGGTGTCTTTTATTTCGAGTTCATTGGAATATATCCAGTTGATATGTAAATGAAAGTAACTATTGTTAATTGACAAATGTCGTCGATATATCTAAATGTCGAATTGAAGGTCGTAACAAGATTTTTTTTTCTTCTCAAGCAGAAGCTAACAGGATGACTAATAAAAGTAAACAAATAGTGTCGATAGAAATTCAAAATTGTTTGAGGACAAGAGAACTTACATGTACGACAGAAACCAAAATGTAATTTTGGAGATAGCTTTCTTTTTTAATTCGAAAATGGTTTTAATCTTTCTAAGAAGAATTTTAAAGGATGTTTGTTTTGAATTTTTAACAGAATAATCAATATTTAAAGAATTTACAAGTTTAAGTTTTGGTCTTAGTCGTAAGATCTTTTGTAAAACGGGCAGCTGATCTCCCAAGACTATAGACATTGTCAATGAGGAACTGTAGCATCTTTTTTAGTACAGATTTGAATAACGTAACTAATTTTTACTCACAAATTAATTACGTTATTAATTTTCTAAAGATATGAATTTCATAACTGATTTTTCGCTCATGAATGAAATCTTATGATTGATTTCGTAAAGATACACGAATTACTTGTTAATTTCTTAGCAAGGAATAATTACACTTCTGTTTTCTTATACAAGATTGTATTTTCTCACCAAGAGCTGATTAGCCTTAAGGATTTCCTCCAAAAGAATTACTGATTTCTTACCCAGGAAGGGATACTGTGGGTTTCCGGTCCACGATAATGAAAATTAAGAACGATAACTGTGAACATCATAGACATGGAACACATTATCATGATACAGCAGAAATAAATACCTGTAAGAGAATATCAGTAAAAGATTCAAGTAAAAATACCGGATAAATAAAATAAATACAAATAAGATTAAACCAATGCAAGCTAACAATGTGACCCGAATTTAAACAATCTGACACTTCATTGTTTAAAAGTATGAGTTGGTGAAAGAGCAGTATTTTATTACATATGAAGCGTATCCTGTAATATGGTTTCTTTCAAGCCTATAGATCTGGTTATACTCATTTACAAAAACAATTTAATCCCTCCATATAGTATATTATAAAAGATACTATTTACGAGGAACTGGCACGTGATCACCAACGACAGCACTAATTAATTAGGACATAAACTTCTGAAAGACAATGTGCAATGTAACGTTTATGTATAAGGTCATAATACTTTAATCACGTGATTAGTAATGTTCTTGATCACGTGACATTACCTACCAATCAAAGGAACAGCGTCAGAAGTGGGTGGCATCGTCTCTGCTACCAGTAGCAGGAATACCATAAGTGACAACAGAATTGTCACACCTGTAAATGATTTTATTAAGATATAGTCCAACAGAATGAGCGGTGCAATTTAAAGTCATTCTGATTAAGTCTTATTGCCAACAAGTTTATTCAATATTTTGAATAAAAGTAAATATAATCATATTTTAACATATACTTAACAGATAGCAGACACTTTCGCCCTTATTATGTAAAGAAAACATGAAGCTTCTGAAGCACTCTACATGTGTACATGTATATAAAACAAAATGTGCAGATTTAAAAGTGCTCAATAAATGTGAGAAATGTTATCTCAATTCTTATTTAATTTACTTCATAAATTGTGAAAAGGAGAAGACTTCCATGTATTTTTTACAACCGTAAATACATGCGTTTTCATGCAATATCTGATACAAAAGTGAATTCCCGATAGTTCAAAACTATCATACATTTTTTTTTTCAGAATTGTAACTTTAGAATGCTAGACACGCGTTTCTTTATCAGTGATCTGTATTACTGCAACTTCAAATAGATACATCATGTGCAATTTTAAAAAAAAGCCACGAACTGTCTGTTAATTATACGGGTTGATATACGTGTTCTTAATCAATAGATTTCTCTTGAGTGACTTCTGGATTTAGCAGATCTGTTGCTTGGCTATTTAATTGAATTTTGGATAAAAAATCAACTTAGAAAATCAAGTTACAAGCAGAAAAATATAAACAGATCTCAAACTTCAGAGGAAATATAGCCTTGGTCGCATCATTTGGGAAATATTCCATGATTAACCTCAAGCCATGCTTTTGTAAAGAATTTATGGCTGTATAGAGAAGATTAGCTTGATAAGAAATATGCAAAATGTGATCTGCTCAGATGCTGATGAAAGCACATGCTTCATGAAATCAATGGCTTCAAATAGCTTAGCTAGCACACATAGAAGAGTAAAAGAAAGAAAGAAATTCTACATCCTGAACCAAGGATATTCCGGAAAGAACCAGAAGTTTTATATTGATTTTTTCAATTTTTTTTTGGTTCAGTTCTACTACAGATCTAAGAAAGCGACTCACCACATTTAACTCTTTGTTTACCTTGAAATCATAGATCGACATTCAGTAAGTAAAAAACTTTTCATTTCAAAGTATAGTTTTCTAGTCAAAAAACTTATAAAGCAAAATAAAATTGTCTACATGTGCAGTCTAGAATTGCAAGATAAACAAGTACTGATAAAACCCGGCTTTCTAGTCTATGAAAAGCTAAATTTTAAGTGCAATTACTTTAATAAAACTGAATCAAATACGACAACAGATAAGCCGTATTTTCGTATTTCTAAATGTGACGTCACTACTTTCGTCATAATGATCCTCACCTAGTGATATTTTTTCGCCGGAGTCAGGTGGTAGCATAAACAATAGGAGAGACATGGAGGAGATGAGAACACATGGTATGATGATATTAAAGCCATAATACAGCGTCCGGCGCTGAACGTGGATCGTGTAGGTAATGTCAATATAGATCTCAGGACAACACTCATATGATTTCTGGTTCCTCACACCCGGTACACCTGTAACAATCAAAAGGGTTAGATTCAGAATAGATTCCTCGACCCTGGCACATCTGTAACGTACAATATATGGTTACATTCAGATGTAACACCCCCGGCACACCTGTAACTTCCAAAAGAGTTAGATTCAGAAAAGATTCCTTAACCCTGACACACCTGTAACGTTCAATATATGGTTACATTCAGATGTAACATCCCTGGCACACCTACAACATTCAAAAGGGTTTGATTCAGAAAAGATTTCTCTACCCTGGCACACCTGTAACATTCAATATGGCTACATTCAAACTGACTATATTCCTCCACACCGGTATACTAGTACCTGTAACATTCAATATAGTATCATTTAAATGGAATACCTGTACATTCCTTATACCCGACACACCTGTAACATTCAATATAGTATCATATAATTTATAATTCTGATTGTAACTCGCCATTTCATTGGATAAAAAAATTACTTTATTAAGAAATAAATAACAAGTTTAAAAACTTCAATGGGAATTGAAGTGGGTCGGTCACGTGATCAAATCCTGTGAAGGCCGAAGGCCTTCTCAGAAGATTTGATCACGTACCGACCCACTTCAATTCCCATTGAAGTTTTTAAACTTGTTATTTATTACTTATATATACATTTGAGACGGACAATCGAATGTAATCGAATATAAATATTGCACTAACTGTACGTCGTAGATTTTGACAAATCACGCTAGTTGTAAGTTGGCTTGAAAAGCGGTTACGCTTCAAATTCATCTGGCAAAGGATTCTGTTTTGAAGGGAATATTCTGTGAAAGGCTACTTGTGATCAATTATAGTGAGCATATTGGTGTCTGGGAATTTTTGTATTCATGAGAATCCATATTCGATGTTTAAAAAACACAAGAAACACGTCCGATGTTTGATAATAAAAAGTTGGAGGAATTTCGGTCGGAAAGGGATGGATGGAGACACTTGTCCGGACCAGATAACTTGAAATCAAGTACAAACTTTGATCAAAAACATAAAATCTACGATTTCAGTAAGGCATATTTATTAATTTATGATGTTGACACTGGCGACAGCTTACATTGTTAAAGACAACGTCACAACGATATCGATGATGGAGGTGTGCCTACCGAACTTCCAAAGTGCAGTGTTTGTCAGCTGTTTGTGGCGTGATTGCATTACATTGATATTTTTCAACAGATTTTCAAATTTATTGTGAGTGAAGTTTAATGAAAAAAAAATTATAGCATTCAGAGGTCTGCGAGAAAAATAAGGGTAAACGTTGAGGCTATGCAGCTCAGACATGAAACTTATAACGCGTAGTTTTCTATTCTCTATGTAAAATCGATCAAGAACTGTATTAAATACTCGTTTACATTGTAAATAAAATTATTATTATTTTACTTGCGTATTTTGTACATTTTTATGCATGAAAAACATGCTATATTGCTTAGTGGAGTAAGTCTTTTTATGTAGATATTACTGCGCTGTGTGATTAGGTCACGTAATGACCTATGACCTTCGAAAAACTTCATACAGGTATGAAGATATTTGCTCTCTGCTGGTTTATATAATAGAGAGATACCAAAAATGTATATATTATCGTATAAATTGGGTTGTCTACGTCACAATGACTTGCGTCAAAAACGTATCGATCCGCCTGACGTTACATTTAAATTTTGTACAATTTGAAGTCATTTTTTAAGGGCAATCATCTTTTTTTTCTTAAACTAAATGAATGAAAATTAAATTATAAGGCATGAAATTAATAGCTACCCAATTTATACGGTATAAACTGGGTTGGAACAGTTTACGCTTTTTAATTTTAAAAACCGCTTCGCGGTTTATAAAGTGTAAACTGCTCCAATCCACTTTATACCGTATAAATTGGATAGATATTAAATTCATTCCTTATCAAATAGAATACAGGTATATTCCTTAAACCCGGCACACCTGTAACATTCAATATAGTATCATTTAAATAGAATACCAGTATATTCCTTATACCCGGCACACATGTAACATTCAAATAGAACATTCAGATAGAAAATCGATTTAAACATCTTTAGAACTGTTGGATGAGTTTTAATAAGTTTTTAAATTAGCAGGTCTGAGCATACAGTATGAAAGCATGTTTTATGCATTAAGATGATCGTACTTCAAAAATAAGAATAATGACAAAAACGTTACCATTGTTTTGCAAATCTTACGAATAATATAGGCTCTAAAGGCAAGTTCACAGTTCAATTTCTCTTGCTTTTTCTGTTACCATTCAACAAGTATTTAAGTGTTCACAAAAATTGTAATTATTGTTTGTGAAACACATGTTAGATTACAAGAAGTTTCGTGGAAAATATGAGAAAAAAATTAATTACACTCAAATGTAGTAAATGAGATAAATATGATTGAGAATTGAATCTAAATTCTACATGTATAGTTTTCTTCACTCCTCTAGTCTGCTGCATATTATATTCATTAATTGTCTCTTATTCAAAATCCAGATTCTCATTGCTTAAAGCGTCATCTGAAATGTAAAGCCATATAAAAAAAAACTAAGAACTTGATAATCATATTGATAGCAAAATATCAACCTAATAGATCCCATTCTCCATTCCTTATGAAGTCAGAAGCATCGCCATTTGAAGATCCGTCAAAAATTAGGTCGAGAAAACGGCCATCATATGTCCAGGATCCAAATTTGAGATCGCATTTCTGCTCGTCAAATGGGAACCACGCAATATCGATCTGACAGGTACTCTTGAACATTCCGGGAGGAATCCATTTGACCTCCCCTCTGTTGTTTACTATGATGTTAGAGTGGTAAGTTCCGTCAAAATCATCGTCCGCACTGAAAGTTCCAATAATATACTAGTAATGTAAGTCTCAATACTGTAAAACATAGTGTCTACAACCTTTAATGCGATCAAAGGTATTGATGTATATTTAGTATAAGGCGCCGTTTTGGTTTTATTGCTATTAAATGACATCTATTCGAATAGATGATAAAACCCATTCAAACAAGTGATACCACTCATTCAAATTGAAATCACCTTTTCAAATTGGTGATATCACCTATTCAAATAGGGATGAATTAATAAATAATTACCACCATATTGAAATTTTTTGTAAAAATTCAACTAACCATAGCAAATTTTTCACTTATATATGCATTCTAGTTCAAATTCCTGACGTTGCAATAGAATAGATAACTGGATAAAAAAGTTTCAGAATTTTTATTAGTAAAACTTCATTTGAAAATTGAAAATATCACTACATCCTAAAAGACTTTCTAAAATGCATAATCAAAAGAAATTATAGTTTTTCATGCTTCAAAATGGTATCAGAGATATAAATGATTAGACCTAAACCTTGATTGAGTTTCTTCTCTTGTATATGTGGAAAAAAATTGGCTTTTGATTGTTATTTCACATTATATTTTCAATTCTGGTTTGAAAAGTTTTAACATGAAAGAAATATGAAACAATAAAATTCCCCCAAAATCATTTTGTCCATTTAAGTCAATTCTTTAAATCTAAGCCAAAAAAGAATTTTGATATACAAGTTTTCTTACGAAAAATACTAGATTTTGAAGTGACCCTATTTTACATTATTGTGTTGTACTCCAAACATCTATTTAACATTGTTTTAAAAATCATAACACACAATAACCCAGATTTACTTCGTAAATCAGTTCGTCGTTTTGATATTTTTTATCATTTACGGCAAGTTTTTCATATTTTCCAAACTTCAAAACTTGATTATTTGCAATGTGTAATGTATATATACATGGTATTTAGAAATATCTGTTATGTGATGAAAAACTATTCTCTGAATTGACTGGAAAATGTCTGTAACTAGTTGATAGACATAATATTTTGAACATTAAATAGTATCAAACATTTTTAAATTTATTTTTCAGTAAAGATAAATGAAGATCATTGATAATTATCAAACAGTTTTGTTGCACTCCTGATTGCAGTAAAATTAGAAATTTAAACCATATAACACAAAAGTTAATAAAGTTGGCAACATCAAGTGGTAACAAAATTGTGAAATGTATATATTTTGAATTATTCCCTATTTATGTAAAAAAAAAACTAGCTAAAATATATATTTAGAAGATAAAATATATTTTATAGTATATTTTCTTCACAGGGCAAACACTATTAGCAACTGAGGTTAACCAGAAACATTTGACTTTTTCATTATATATATTCATATTTGATCAGCAATAAGTCTAACACATGGGAGTCTTTCAAGCAGAACTGTGAAACGAAAATTACATCAGATCTTGTTTTTTTGTTTCAGTGAAATTGAGGTGGAATTACTTGAATTTTATAACAATTTTTCAGTGTGTTTGTTTTTGTACATTCAAAAAAATATCACAGAATAGATAAAAACACATCTGAGTTGATAAAATTGAAAAGGAGAAGGATTTTAATCATAAAACTGTCAATACTTTAGTACTTAATTATTCAAATAGATCAATAGTAATTAAAGAATATTTCTTAGCATGAATATACGTAACTTGAATCTTTTAAAAAATGAGTTGCACTCCTGAGCATAGAAATATAGATCTGAAACACAGACAGACCCTGTAATTGATAAATTTATTTGGTAAAAATGTTCTTTGTGTCTTTATTTTCAAAATAAAAATTAGGGAATCATATACTGATAAAAGTTTTTTTTTCATGCTGGGGAGCAAAACATCAAATGTTGCACTCCTGAAATTATTGGGTATGCACAGATACGTGACTTTCATTAATGCTGCTTGTGATTTGTATAACATTTTAAAGTTTTATATTGTTTGTCAGTTATTGTTTTACACTTTGAAAATTCTTTTTTAACCTAATTGTCTTTCAGATTTTTAAAATCGATGCTTTTTGGCAACACTACATTTTTTCTTTGGCACTCCTGACATGGTATAACATTTTTTTTCAACATCAAAGATGACCACAACTTGGTCAAACCAAAGTTGCTACAGTATACATTTAAAGCTAAATACTTTGAATATTATCATGAAAGTCTTTATTTCAACCTAAAGAATTATTATTTATTTCACAAATCTTCAAATAATATTGAAATTTCAAAATGTCACAAAAAAGTGTTGCACTCCAGACAATTTTAGCATCATTTTTGGGCATAACATTTTTGTGGGTTGTGATATCAAGAGATATTTGGCAGGCATTAAGAAACTATCTAAAGACATATGCTGAGACATTAAAATTTATTCCCATTGCCTGTTTTCTGTAGTGCAAGTTGATTAATACGTGTTTGGTTTTCCTTTTTTGAATTAGGTGATATCGTCTACTCGAATTGAATGGGTGATATCACCTTTTAAATTGGATTGGTGATATCACTTATTCGATATGAATTGGTGACATCACTTATTCGAATGAGTGATTCACCTGTTTGCATTTTTTACAACATTAAATAATGAATAGTTCCTTCTTCAAGACAATCTAGCTTCAAAGCAAAGTAAAGAGTGGAATTTTAAAAGGCTTTCGAAGAACATTCTTTTTTTCTTAGCATTGATTAAAGAAAATGATGATTTTGATTTCTTTATTCCTATACAACCTTTTTAAAATGATAACAAAAGATTCTTTGGACTTGTTGAACTGAATCTGAACCACATCATCTACTATTTCTGCATTGATTGATCAAATAAACCGAAGATTCTCTGTGAAACCTCCTTTTTGGCACAAAGGGGGATGGACTGTTTCTATATATACCCAAAAAGGGTCCATAGAACAACTCACTTTTACATATGATAAACTAAGTCTCGATTGACCCTAAGCAAGTCCGGGCTGCCCTTTTTCCCTTTGTTATAGTTTGAGACAATTAAAACACCAAATGTTATCGGTCTTTTTAAAATTGTATATATATTTTAATTGCACTCAGCTTTGCTATATTTATTGGCACTTTCTCTCTGTTTATGTACCAAGAGACTAAAATGTTTACTTTATCTACAGTCATAGGAGCAGTTGTAATTCCATACATAATTTAAATATTAAGTGATATCACCCAGTCGAATAATTAATATCACCTATTCAAAATGAATAGGTGATATTTTCTTTTTCTTTTCGATAAGGTGATATCACCTATTTGATTCGAATAAGTGATATCACTTATTCGATTAGGTGATATAACTTAATGGCAGTAAATACCAAAACGACCCCCATAATTTGGTGCAAACATGTATTGATGTGATCAGTTTTTCTGTCTTACATTTTTATCATTATGTTACCAAAATTTGGCAGCATCCGCGAAAAAGTGCTTATATTAATGGTTGCACTAAAAGGCACACTTAGTCTAATAACATATAGATTACAGTTTCTGTAAAAGTTTTCCAGAACAGACTATATACACCTGTTATAGAGCAGCACATCCGGTTTCCATACTTTTTTTGCCGGGATTCTGAGTTCCTCAACTCCACCAAATTCCCGTGGCTCCCAGATCAAGTTAACATCATTCCATTTCTTGAATAGAGCGAAAATGTGTCAATGTGAAGTAAGACTTGATTTTTTGGCTACATGGAAATCCTTATGTTATGTCCCATAAATATTTCTAATCTGACTTATTTTGCATTTAAGTAAAAAAAAAAATCAATGCCAATGAAGTAATTTTTTAGCAACCATTTTTAAAAACAAAGAGTTCAGAACTCGTGTGCAAGGTATTGTGATGAAGATGAAAAACTAGTTGACGTTGCTTTCCTTGCTTGGTAAACATCAGCAGAATGTACTTTTCAATTATTTCTTCTTCATTGTTATTTGTGCATGTATATTACTTAAATAATTTTGTTGTAACAATGAATTCTCTAATAACTTGTCAATTCATATATCCAGTTTCCTTGTAAGCTCAACACTCACCATTTGTAACCAAATATTGGAGTACAGAATCTGGTTTTTTTCATCCTAAAAAAAAGAATTTGATAAAAGATATAATGTAGAATCCCAAATTTTCTGTATGACAGGGAATGTCTTATTCTTTTCTAAAAATTAGGATGGGTTAATTAATTAATCAGAAATCTAAAGGTTTGTAGATAATTCGGATAAGGTAGATAACTCTGACTGGGATCATTGACTATCATTCCTTTCATAAATTGTCAAGTTAAAAAACAATTTCTATCAAATTCTCTTGCCCTTCAAGGCATGCTGGAGCTTTTTACATTTTTAATTATGAATATAAGATTTCCTCTGAAGAATCATTAGAATTACAGCAGAGTTTTATTGAGTGAATTGAAGAATTATAAACATTAAATCAACAGTGCGGGCTGCTATTTTACTTTCAAAATGCTATATTTATTTAAAAAAAACAAAACAAAACACTTTCTTCAAAGAATATTTTCGAACGTACTTGTTTAATTTTGGAATGTTCACAAAGTGAGCTTGTATTTCTTAATTGGGACTAATTAGCTGATGGGATTTACCTGATAGGATTCTTACACAAGGAGATTCTATTTCTCTTGGTGATTTTTGGGATTTGCTTATTGATTGGACATGCACGCAGTGAGATGCTATTTCTTTTTGGGATTTATATATTGATGTGACATGCACACAGCAATGTTTTATTCCTTTTTGGGATTTATTTATCGATGGATCGAGCATGCAGTAAGATTTTATTCCTTTTTGGGATTTGCTTATTGATGGAACGTGCACAGAGTGAGATTCTGATCATCTGTGGGACTTGTTTATTGATGGGACGTGTCCACAGTGGTATTCTGTTCCTTTTGGGATTTATTTATTGATGAGACAAGCACATAATGAGATTCTTTTCCTTTTTGGGATTTGTTTTTGGATGGGACACGCACAAAGTGAGATTCTATTCCTTTATTGGGTTTGCTTAGTGATGGGACATGTACACGGCGAGATTCTATTCTCCTCTCAGATTTGGTTACTGATAGGACGTGCATACAGTAAGTTTCTTGTCCACTGTTGGAGATGTTTATTAATAGGATATGCATGCAGTAATAAGATCTTTTTTTATTTGGGATTTGTTAATTGATCCTCTCTTCCTGGGATTTTCTGTTTTATTTTATGTTTATACAGGGTGATACTTTGCCTTATGTGGGGTATATTCATGGAAGGGATGTATCCATAATCCATAGTGAAATTTATGTTTTATGTTTGACTGATAAATGTTGACTTATTGTTCTCAAGAAAGATCCCTTAAAATGTCAGTTTGTTACATGTCGTGATTTCTGAATTTTAGAAAGTATCAAGTACCGGAGAAAAAGTACAGAACAAAAAATCTGACAGATCACATTTACATAATTGACTCCATTATCTGGCCACTGTCAGGGAATTCCGTTCTCGTCACTTGTCCCTGATTAATTGTCAGGATTTCCGTGTAAAAGATTTGTCTGTGAATAATGTCACGTGATGCATTTCGATCTGTAGCTCGGGATATTCTTTACGCCTGATTCTATGGAAATCGTGATAACTTCACCAAGTAATATTTATTCAAATAAAGCATCTTTTCTCCCCTCCAAAACTTATATTTATCACTAGCTTTCTTATGCTAAAAGGATATCCGTTAATTTTCTTTGATGAATGTGTTCACTCAAAGAAGAGTGAGCGGGATTCAATATATCAATTTTCGCGAGGAAACAAAGTACATATTTTACACAATTAATGAATATTTGTCTTTTATCAGGATTGAATTTGCTTCTTTTGTACAATTTTCGATTTAGATAATGTTCATTAATTTGAACAACATCACGAAAAGTTTTATTTCAAACATTTGGCCACCAGTATTATATGTTCACAAAGTAGTGGAATATTCCAATAAAAGGCATATGATAATGAAACTGTTATGCATGTATGCATGTTATTGTGTTTTAATTCATTATTCATTTAAACAATAAATAACTTCCTTTGTTTGTTAATATGGGAATTAACGGCTGCATCTATTGTAAAACAAACAAACAACCAAACAAAACAAAACAAAAATTAGAAAAAAAACATAACCCACGTAAGCGGGTTATGTATTTTTTTTCTACAATGATTAAAAATGATCGTATAAAGTACGATTAAGTACGTTAATATTCTATTTTTGATTTGTATGGCATGGTATGTCTCATTGTTGGAAGAATCCACTGCTTAAGAAATCTTTCATAGAGGTGGCCTTGCAAAAACCGGTTCTAACTACATGTATTTTAGTGTTGATGGATTAATTTAGGCAAGTGTTTTCAAAGGTTAAGATAGCGAACCTTGATTGATCTTAAAAAAAATACAAATTTGTGAACAGGGCATAAAACACGGACCCCTTGAAATTTCAGAGGTGGGATCAGTTGCCTAGGAGGAGGAATCATCCCCTGTTGACCAATGACACCCGCCGTGATGAATATTCCGTAGTCAAATTAATATATAAAACACAGGAGAAAATATTCAGTGACTATAAATAATGTATGGCCAGGAGCACTCAACTGGAATTACAATAATATCATTTCAGCATTGCACATTTGACGATCAAAAGAATTGGCATAATTTTTATAAATTAGAGCGACATGGTTGTAATTTTGACGACATAAGTAAACAAGAAACCTATGGGCTATAGCGCTCACCTACGTGACATTGGCCCTGCGTGTTCTTCAGAAAAATATTTTAAAAGATAATTTACCCTCTTTATTTCCCAAGAATAACAAGGTCTTGCATTTCTGAAGAAGACTTTTCATATCCGCATGCAGTATGTTGAATTTGATTCACGATTTTTTTTACAACAGGAACTACAGGGTCAATTATATTGAAAAAAAAATGAATCCAAACAACTTCTGGGCTTGATTTGACCAGCTTAAATCTATACTACCTGAGGATGCTTGAAAATGAATATAAAAAATAACATATAATAATATAAATGAAGATAACAAAGAGTAAACAACATCATAATTCCTTTTTTAAAAAAAAGTACAATATGTACCAGTTGTGAACAGGACAAAAAATACGGACCTTTAAAAACAACATAGGCATGAACAAGTTCAAAAGAGGGGGTAAGCACCCCCTGTCGATCTGTCACGCCCTCGTAGGCCCCCTGTATTGATTGGACAAACGGAGTATCGGGTAATCCGTAGTCAAAATTAGTATAAAATATTTGATTTAATACTTGGTATGAAGCATGTCGTCAAAATACGACCTACGATAGGTTGCATTTAATAACGACCATATAATTTGCAAAAGTCTACTTTTAAAGAGATTATTGCATCAACATGCTGCTGTTCTTGAGATGAAGATTTTTTAAAGATTTTTCCCCCATTATATTCCATTGTAAAAAAAAAAAAAATGATATCCTATTGTAGCTCCACCGTACCCTGAAAGACCATGTTTGAACACACTCACATTTACGCTATATGTCAGCAAGCTTTCATCAAATTTCATCTGTTCTGGCCAAGTGGTGTATCGAACTATGATTTGTGCCATGTTTGGATGAATTTTTTCCAGGAGCTCTAGATACAAAGCCGATAATGTTAAAAGGGAGACAATAAGAGAGACAGGGAGAAGGACAGGCAGACGATGGACAACTCTCGATCAAAAAATAACCCTTAGAACCACTGGCCGAGGTGAGCTAGAAATATGGCTCATGTTTATTACATATACTTACCTACGCATGCATTAATTACATGTACAAGAGCATGTTGGTTATAAAGAATCCATAAATATTCAATATCGGTAGAATTCGGATGTCAACATGTGACACAGTGTTAATAGATATCTGACATCTGATTGATGACCTCGCTGTTGTATCGTATCGTTTTTTGAATCCTATTCATTCCTTAATCTTTTTCTGTAAATGATACAGTCCTACTGCTCACGCATTGTTTTGCTCACAAATTTGTTTACATTGTTTTTGAAGAACAATCATTTCGTAAATGTTTATTTCAATAAACTTAATTTTCATTAAGTTTATTGAAATAAGGGTGAAGTTTCCTTAATTTCACTTGAGATCAAAGTTTATTATTATTTTTTTTTTTTACAATTTCAAATTCACCATAGCTTTGGCTAAAAAAGAAAACTAAACGTGTACATAAAGTATTATTCTCTATCGCAAAATACACAAAATTACGACCAATTGTTTAATCCATTCTTTTTGAAGACCTTTTTTTGCATTGATAACTAATGCCTTTTCATACCGTTGTTTTTATAAATATAACTCGTTCTCGTCCAAAATAACATGTAGCCACTACATTACATATACTTGTACAGCGACAGTCTGAAGCCAGCAAAGGAATAAGTTTGCAGTGACAGCGAATTCATTGTATATCGTTTCAGTAGGGGAAGGGGAAAATCAAATGAATCTTTATAAGGGAAATTCCAGATGTAGGATTTTCAGATCAGAAACCAATTAAAGAAAGCTGTTGTATTTTGGCGCCTATAAAGTCATGTATAAAATATATGTATAAAAAGGGAAAAAAAGGCTTAAATGCGTGCGCTGTTCGGTTGTGGATGTCAGATAATTAGATCTTATAAAAATATTTTATTGTGAGTATTTTAACAAAATCAGGGAATTCTGCTTTTAAATTACAAGTTATTCAAACAGCTCTTATTCACAAGCAATGTTGTTTAATACACAGTTACAGTATGGTACTTTTTCTACTTACAGTCATGGTACTTTTTATACTTACACTTGTAGTACTTTTTATACTTACACTAATTACACCTATGGTACTTTTTATACTTACAGTCATGGTACTTTTTATAATTACACCTATGGTACTTTTTTATGTGGTACTTTTTATAATTACACTTATGGTACTTTTTATAATTACAACCATGGTTATTTTTATACTTACACCTATAATACTTTTAATACTAACAGTAATGGCACTTTTTTTTTACTTACACATTACTTACAATGTCTAGGTTTGTCGTTACAGACCATACTTTCAATGTCTCAGTTTATTATTAACAGACCAAAGTTACAATATCTAGGTATCTTCTAACAGTCCACTACTAAAATATCTAGTGTTCACCTAACTGGCCACAGATACAATGTGTAGGAGCATCGTAACAATTCATACATATAATGTGTAGGTTAATCATAATGGACCATACATGCAACGTCTATGTTCCTCTTAATATCCCATAATTAAAAATATCCATGACTTTTCCCTATAGACCACTGTTTTAAAAGTTTATGAATTGTCAAATATTATAATTGGTCAGAAGTCAGAATCTAAAAGGTATAAACTTGTCTCAGGTATCCTTTACTTCCAATTTACTTAATTGTAATTAACCACTCCCTCCGTCTATGTTGTGTACAACTGAATCTGACGAATAATTTCTGCGATTTGTCTATAAAAGCTTCTTCTAACAATTAGATTGCTACCATCAATATCTATGATCTGTCAATAAAGGGCTCCTTTTACAGTATCTCTGATCTGTTAATAAAGGCTCCTCTCTACAAATTAATCATGATTTATGATATCTGTGATTTGTCCAAGAAGCACGTTCGTCAACTAACAGGACTTTGCCTATGATGCCAACATGACTTGTTCCAATGGATCATTATTTGATAAAAAAGTGTATGATTCCAATAGATTATTATTTGATGATTAAAAAAGTGTATGCTTTGTCTAGAAACTTTATCCCTGTCATCTGATTTACCTACAGTTTTTATGATTTGTCTAGAAACTTTATCCCTATGATCTGATTTACCAACAGTTTTTATGATTTGTCTAGAAATTTTATCCCTACCACCTGCTTTGCCTACAGTTTCTATGATTTGTCCAAACTGAGCATTCCATGCAGGTTTACGCTTTGTAAATATAGCTTGTCCTCCACCTAACAAGAGTCTCTCTCTCTCTCTCTCTCTCTGAATGTCCATCTCACAACAGACTACAAACCGTTTTAAGTGTGAATTTCCTTCTCCAAGTTCGGTAGAGCGCTCGCTCCGTGATCGGGAGGTCGTAAGTTCGAATCTCGGCCGTGACTGACCTAGGTCGATAAAAAATGAGTAGCAACTGTTCCTTCGCCATGCGTTCGGCACTTTGAAGTGAAAGTTGCGAGTCCTTCTGATGAAACCTTAAAAACCGAGGCCCCATGTCACGGCAGGAGTTAATTGGCACGATAAAGATCCCTCACTGCTCTATGACCCTGGGTGCCGAGTAAAGGTCAAAATTTGAAGCCCTTTACCGGTATATGGTACGTCTCTATATGAGTGAAAAATTCACGAATGGGACGTAAAACAACACACAATCAATCAATCCTTCTCCAAGTGCAAAATAAAATATCCATGATTTGTCTTTAAAAAGTCTTTTAAACTGATAAGTTATTATTTACATCGAGAGCTGATTTGCTGATAAATAAAATGAGTGCTTATTGCTTGATAAATCATTACTTAAAATCACTAACTTACCTAACAGAGAACAGTTGCTCTAATAGAACACTACTTACAATGTCTATGATTTGTTGCAGTGTGATTCCGAATTTTACAATAATTGGCTTCGTCTCATTGGCCACTGGTCTTTCTAAAGGGTTGTACTGGTTCTCCACGAAGAGAAAATGAAGTAGGTGGCGCTCGTTTTGTCCCTGTATTGTTTCTGTGTCAAATGAGATATAATATTTATATTTTGAGTGTTTCAAAAGAAGTTAAAGCTGAAAAGTTCAATACTTGTTGATGCCAAATGATTTCTTTGCCCCAAAAGGTAGACATGAAAAGCGATGAATAAACAAAAAAGAGAGAAATGAAAAAAGAAAGATTGAAAATAAAAGAAAAATAAGTGAAGAACTGAGATTGGAATCTAGCAGGAACTATATTTTTGGCGGAACTACGGCGTATAAAAATATCTCCTTTTCTGCTTCTCAAAATTACTATAGAACAATGAATTTACATAAAAAATTTTAAATAAAGACTTTGACAAATTTCAGATGTAATTAAAATCAATAATAATGGACTGAACATTAAAAACATATCAAATAAATATGATTTTCAAAACAAACTATAATTTTATTAGCTTTTAAAAGCTTACAATCTGAGTACAAATTTGAGCAAAAAATCAGAAAAAAATGTTTTTTCTCTCTTAGTAAATGGTCAAATCTTTTTGTTTTTGTATCAATTTGTATCTTTATATGACTACTTTACCATATTCGAAAATAAGAAAAATTTAAATATACGAAGCATATAATAATAACTAACATTTCCTTAAAATATAAGAAAAGTAGAGGAAATTCGGATTAGCTAATACCTATTTTAGTTGAATTATTCTTGTCGATTTGGTAGTATCATCTAAAAGACCCTATATGGTAATATCTTTCTATGCAAAAAGAAAAATATTTAAACTTTTGAAATAGAAGTAGGCATCGCATGATTGGCAATAGTATTTTTTATTTTCAATGTGAAAGAAAAAAATAATGACCTTGACCTGACCTTGCTTCTAAAATAAAACGGTCAAATTTAATCTAACTGACACAATCACTTAGTGATAATGTCTTCTTGAATCTATAAAAATTTCATTAATTTTTAAAAACAAGAAATATGAGAAGAATCCCTCTTTAATTTCATTGCAATTTGTATCGATTACGATCTTCTAATGAAACTTATGTCCAAATTACTGTATCTCACTTCCATTCTAGTCGCCTGCGTGGTGCAGTGGTTTAGAGCGTTTGATGTAGAGTCACGGAGTAAAGAACTGATCCGTACGTCGTGGGTTCAAATCCAATTGCGGACCTTGGATACCGATCCTTCGGATGAGACCGTATAAATCGAGGTCCTATATCGCAGTAGATGCTGGCATAAAGAAGATCCTTCACTACTTAAGGGTCGTAAATGCCGAGTACAGGTCTAAATTTGCAGCCCTCCGCCCGCAAGTAGTGGCTCTCAATATGAGTGAAAAATTCTCGAAGGGACGTTAAACAAACAAACAAACACTTCCATTCTAGGAATTAAGAATTCCGTCGGCATCGAAAGCAAGTGTTTTGACTTGCCTAGATGTCTGAGCGGTCTAGCACGCTGTTCCTGCAATGCTAAGGAACAGATTCCGCGGGTCGAGAGTTCCACCATGGGTTGGGGAGGAAGTCAGTATATCAGGTGAAAGCTTCCTATTATAATGGAAATTCTAACTTGGTCGAATCATGGTCCCTGGGATAGGGCATTACCACAAAATAGGATTAAAATTTTGAAGAAAACATATTCGGGGAGAAAAATTATAAATAAATTGACATCAGAATATATATAAAACATTCTTTACAAATTTTCACATGAAATATGGAACATCAAGAACCACTGCGCTATGAAAAGTCACATCAATTCTCAAGCATTCCAATATAGTGCAGGTTCAGATTTGTTGAGATCATACCCCCTGGGACTTGGATAGGGTTGAAATATGGATTCAAAGTTTTACACGAGAATATTTCAGAGATTAAAAGAATAAATATTTTCAAGAGAAGCACGGTCACACTGAATAATATAAAAATAAAAACTTTAATTCCAATTAATGACCTAACCAAGGTTAGGGTTGGGCTAAAAATTTGGTACCAATTTCACGTAATGCATGTATACAAGGAGAAAAGAAAATCTTTTTAAATCCTTTTCTGCAGGGAAGCAAGGCTATTGAACTATTGAATGACTATTGACTATTGAATGTAAAAGGTGGAGATAACGAACATTGATCAATCTCATAAATCCAGTGAACAAAACGCATCATGAACACGACAAAAACACGGACCTCTGGAAACACCAGAGGTGGGATAAGGTGCCTAGGTGGAGTAAGCATCCCCTGTCAACTGATCACACCCTCCGATAGCCCCATGTATTGATTAGGTAGACGGAGTACTCTACAGTAAAATTAAGGTATAAAAGCAGTGACCTAAAAATGGTATGAAACTAGTCAGACAACATATGACCCAGCGATAGGTTTTATTTACAAACAAGGTCATAACAAATTTGTAAAAAACTGACTTTAAACGGGATTGTTGAAATCCTATAAAACGTAGATATGTGAAATTTTTATAAGAAGGCCCCAGCAAGTGTTTTCTTCTTCGCATGTGAAAGTTTTTGATTCAATTCTTTTTCATAGAAATATAAAAACAGGTCGTCAAATAAAGGAGATCAATTAGTGCCCATCGAAATTCCAAAAGATTTTATAAAGTTATGGTCAAAAAAGTATACAAAGATGTTGAAAATGAGGAGTTCCAACATACTTTCATATCAACTTCATAGCACTTACCGGTATGTGCAGAATCAGAGTGATTTTATACGAAGTAATTTTGTAGATGACCTATCACATGAGAATTTCCGAGTTTCATTTTTATTGAAGGAGCAGTTGTCTATGATATCAAAAAGCCTAGATTTTAATTAATTGAGAGGAATGGTTGTATAAAGTGCAGAAAAGTCGTACGTTTTGATGTTACCGACTTTTGAAAATTTATGTGATTTTACATTTTCTAATATTTCTTTGAAATTTGAGCATTTCATTTACATCACTTTTAGAATATGCTAACAGTATTAACATATTTCGTCTGAAATTTCTCCTTTATAGCAATTAATATTTTTTTAAGGAGTAAAGATAGGGGCGTGGTAGAACAGTTTCTGGACCCGGAATGTATCTTTGTTTGTAAGGATTCTTATGCAGTTTAGAAATCAAGTATAGGTAGGGTAAATCATACTCCCTTTTGTTGACTGGAATGTTAAAACTTTCAAAAAGTGAAATGTGATTTTGAAGAATTTCATCCTTAGAAAGTGAGCAGTTTTTTCTGCATATACTTTTTATTTTTATCACAGAAGTTTATAAATGAGAATACTTATAATGTGCAATGTAATACATTACTAAAACATATCCCCTGTATTTACCCCCATAGCAAAGTTTATATCAAATTAGAATTTACTCTACTTTTTAAAGCTTTTTACATGAACTTTTGAAAAGTCCACAGATTTTACGTGAAAGTTTCGGCAAAATGATAGCAAACACAAAAATTCATTCAAAATTTTGTTTCGCAAAAATCAGTCAAGGGCGACTCATTTTAATTGGGAATCATTGTTTTAGACAACGATCTGAAAATAATGGACTAGACCATCAAGCAACAGTTTTGTTATATATAGAAAATAAAGACTTCTGGGAGGAATGGTATGCGAACGCCTTCAAATACGGCGTCCTTTTATAATTTGCCAATCTCTGTAATATCTTTGTAAATCCTTCCTTCTTCTATCTGTATTAAACTACTCACCAGAAGAAAGATTGATGCAAATGTTATCCTTCTTTTTCTCATAGCAATTCAAAGATAAAATAGACTGAAACCAATGTTTTACTTTATACTGGCATTGATAAATCAACTCTAGGTCAAGAATGAGCAGTCAACAACTCAACAACAAAATAGAAATCATTCACGAGGCGTTTTATTCCACAAATAAAATGAAACATGCATGTGGATATTTCTGCAACATGCTAGATACTGCATCTAACAAAGCTTATCATATACATATTCATTCCCCTTACATGTTTGGGTCTTATTTATAAGATATAAATTATTCATAAATAAATAGCTTTCTCAAAGAAACAGTCTTAGTGAAACTATTAATGTTATCGTTCAGCATCATACACGATTGAATGTACAAAGCATTACGCCTGATACACGCTCGAAATTGCATGAGACAATTCAAATTTGATTACGCATTTTTGGATAACCTAGGTTAGCACTAAAAAGCATCAAGGATGAAATGTGAATATAATGAGCAGTGATTTTTCTCAAATTTATACTAAATTTTACCACAGAGTACTCCGTCTACCTAGTCAATAGATGGGGCTCACGGAGGAATTGGCCGTTCGACAGGGGATGCTTACTCCTCCTAGGCACCTGATTTCACCTCTGGTGTTTCCAGTTGTCCGTGCTTTTTTACCAGTTCATGATTCGTTTTGTCTACTGGATCTTTGAGATTGATCACTGTACGTTGTTTTCACCTTTTACATTACGATATTTTTTTCTTTTATATCCTACTGTTGATAAACAATCCCCAGGTCCATGATTTAAAGAAACGAAAATCGGAATAGACAAAGGATGCTTATTCGTAGAACTGGCTGTTCTTCAGAAGATTTTAAAGAATGTGCCCTATATATTCCCATGTAGGACTTTGATCCCTATTGTGGCCTCATCCCACCACCGGGAGGGATGATTTAAAGAAACTTGAATTTACACTACCTCAGAAAGATTTCATATTAAGCCAATTGCAATCATTGCCCTTCTGTTCTTGGGGAGATTTTAGAGATTTTTTCCTCCATATCTTTATGTAAAACTGTGATCCCCTTCGGTTAGGTGAGCTATAAAATACGAGGGGTAATCAAAAAGTTCGTGGACAAGCGCTATAAAATCAAAACTGCCTGAGGAACATGAATGAATTTTTACACATTTTGTATGTGTAAAACACAAGAGCAACATCTTCTTACTTTTTACAAAAAGCTATATATCACGAGTTTTAATTTTAAATGAATTATTAATGTTTTGTAAACAATAGTATGCCCAGGTGGCGCAACCTCAAAACACGTATTTTCTACCTGAATAAAAAGGAAAAAAAATATATGACCATTTGTCATCCAATAAATATGCTAATTTATTCATATGGTATAACACAGTTGTTCCATAAAGTTTGCGATTTTCACCGCATTCTATAAGTTCTATGAAATGTTCTCGTAAATTTTATATGGATTGCCCAAACAATTAAGGGGTTAAAATGACGCCAGAAGGGGGAAGGATCTTTATCCCACATTCTATAATGTTTCACTCCTGAAAAAAAAACTGGCATAGACCTAGAAAATGTTTAAAAAGACTACAGAGAAATAAAATGCATCCAGAGTACCCGTTCTTAAACGCCAAAAAAGATTCAGAGAAAGGAGAGACGCACAGTTAATGTCGATTTGTAGTTCGGGTGTCCAAAGTCATTCTTGTCGAAAAGTGACGTTGCTCATGTGTAATAGACATGTGTGAACTCCGACAAGCAAAGTATGCTGATATAATCAAGTGAGAATACTAGCATTTCCCCACGTATAGATCCATTTAAAAATATTATGCATTGAAATCAGCTGTTCATGACATTGTTAAATCATATAAACAAGACAGATTTCGGTCTTTACTTTACTTCAGGGAATCTAATCAACATTATTATTATTATTTATTTATTGCTTAAGACATACATCTTACTGCATTTCAACATATAATACAAAATATTACAAAATGGCATTGTATAGCGGTCCTTATTGATTACAAAAATATAATACAATATAACAATCATGATTTCATGGAGAATTACCATATGAGAGAATGCTTTCTCTCAATTTAAAAGCAAAATGAATAAATTTCCCTAAATTACAAAGATCATGGACATTGCGTGTACCTAATAATTGTACAAATTTAAAAACAGATGGTTTTTGCCAGTAATACAATTTGATATATTTTTTACGGAGCTTTTCAAAATGTGGACAAATTAAAACAAAATGGTATTCATCCTCTATTTCACTTTTACACATTCTGCACATTCTACTCTCCCTAGGTATTTTATTATGTCGTCCTGACTCAATTTCAAGGTTATGAGATGAAAGCCTAATTCGACTAATTTGCTTTTTGTACATAGAGGGTATGGGCTTACAAAGATAATACTGTAAAGAAAAATTGTCTATTATATGTTTGTAAATGTTACATTTTGATGAATAATTGATTTCTTCCATAAGGTTTTGAACACATATGTCATTCAATCTTTGTTTTATAATTGGGAAAAAAATTCTATAACAAGCTCTATCTTGTTCACAACACATATATCCTAACCCAATTTCATACAATTTTTCTTTAATACAAAAGGCCCAATTTTTCTTACTGTTTTTCATTCTGTCACATTTATCATATAATTCATCATAACAGTTTTTTATTATGCAATTTCCACTAGATAAAACCTTGAACCAGAATTTGAACATTCTATACAATCAAGTAATTTTCATAGGTAGTCTACCAGTTTCCAAATACACTGAAGGAGAGTTTGTGTTTTTCCTTACGCCTAAAACAGATTTTATAAATTCCAACTGTACTTTTTCTACGTCACTAGCATTATGACTACCCCAAACCTCAAAACCATAGTTTAAAATACTTGTTACATAGGTGTCAAAAAGTGACAAAAGGGTTTCTGTATTAAGACACATACTTTTTACTTTTGAATTTAATGCAAACATGGCCTTCCTTCCTTGGTATGCTAGTTGCTTTTGTGTACTATTGTAATTACCATTGAAATTTAGTAACACACCCAGATAAACAAACTTATCGACAACTTCAATTGGGTGCCCATTAATATTCCATTTTTCTGTTGATTTGATTTTACCTCCGTTTCTAAAAATTGCAATTTTTGTTTTTTTTCTATATTAACAGAAAGATCCCAGCGAGCTGTGTATTCGTATAATATATCTAACATCTTTTGAAGCTCATTTACAGTCTCAGCAAAGATTACCATATCATCGGCATACATTAATGCAAATAGATTAAGTTCACGCAAGTGTACAGGAACAGTATCATTCTTTAGAAATTCTACTTCAAAATCATTCACATATAAAGAACATAAAATGTGTTGAGTCAGAGGGAGCTAACACTAAAAAAAAAAACAATGACATTTTCGTACGTCATAAAACGGCCACAGTGCCGGGTGATCATATAATGACTTCCATATTCAATGATAACTTAGCAAATTATCAACGTATCAAGTTAAAACTTTCAATACTTCTTAAACTTAAACTTATGTTGTTTTATAAATTTTGTGAGCACCGACTACATAGTATTAATTTTATCGCATTAGTCCACGAACTTTTTGATAACCCCTCGTACATGGTGCAACTTCTTGTGTATCCGTTGAATTGTACATCATCCAGAAGAGGAATAAATACACGGATGTTACGAACTCTTCACCAAACTCCAGGCTTAGTGAAAACATTTATAATTTTATTATTGAAAAAGCATAAGATAAAGTCCTAAAGCACACCTGAACAGTTGTAATTCAATATACTTACCCTGAACAAGAAAGCTCAAAAAAGTACAGATGATTAACAGAAGGTCATCAAGGAGAATAACCGAAGCCATTGCAGCATCAGTGTTAACCTGTAAATAAAAAGGTTGTTAGTCTAGAATGATTTATTCATTGCAGCATCAATGTCCACCTGTAAGTAAAATGGTTGTTAGTCTAGAATGATTCATTCATTGCAGCATCAATGTCCACTTGTAAGTAAAATGGTTTACAAATTTTGTTTCTAACCCTGTGTATTTTTATTATCCTGTACAAGGCCATTCTCTTAACTAGAGAGAATTGAACATTTTTCTATTAATTTTTTAATTATTAAAAAATTTATCATTGTGTGCAGACAATTAAATAAAAAGTTTTAATGAACACTTTCCGTATTTTCCTAGCAATTTAATTGGGGTTAAGAAAAAACAGAGAAAACCTGTAAAAATTAACGAATAAGATTGCTTCTTACTAAATTTTAACAATTGATCTCCTTGCTTTTAAATTTATGTTTGATTAAGCGATAATTTATAATCTTCAAATTAATGATACACTTTCATTGCAACTAAGTGTGCAAAAAAGTTTTTAAATTTTTTTTTTCAGTCTGAAAATGTTAACACGAAGTTATATGCCATAATAGATAATACTGTATAAACAAATGTGTGTGTCAGATGGCCGTGTCATAATTTGTCCAATCTTTAATAAACAAGGCCCTGTCATTAATCATTATCTGATATACATGTACCTTGTATTAGAGTCGCAGAAAAAGGCCTGTTAATTACAGAAAACTATTGCTTTATGGGTTTGATATTATCATCACTTTTCTATTGAAATCAGTCTAATTTGATTTTTATTTTTCTCTAGGACGTGTTCGAACTGCGGCGGTTTCTAACTCGATTTGACGGCAGGATAAACATAATGGTTATTATACGAGGGGTAAGTGACAACTCGCTTCACATGACACAACAAACGAATTAGCCAACTCATTAACAATATTCCTAATTACTCCAACATTTCACATAACCATTAGGAAAAAAAATACATTATAAATAGTTGCCTTGGGAAAGAACTTGTCAGTGTTGATTTTATAGTGTATTTTTAACAGATATTTCTCTTTTTTTGCATTTCTACAAAGAGTAATCAAACAAGAATTCCACTGCTTTCTTCATTAATTAGGTTTGATTGATATTTTCCTAGGAATTAATTATTGATTTGCTGTCGATAACGAGCTGTGACACATTTTAGTTTTCTGTATCAAAATGTACAGTCCTATCATAGTTGTAACCAATTCCACATGAAAAGTCTTTCTCTTTAATTATAAAGATCATTTTTCTAAGTGTAGTACTTAAATCATTCAAGTATCTTCCGTCCATTTATAATAAATTAATGTTGTTATTCATATTTGAAAAAAGATAGATGAACTATATCAAATCAGGCAGCATTGTCGAAAATTAACAATTACTTTTATAATGACATTTTTAATATTTTCTGTCGTCGATTCCAATGCCAAAAAGTTTAGTTATCTTAAACTCTCATCTTAGTATATTTTTTTCTTCTCAAAAGACATTCGATTTAATGATATTATTTTCGGTTTTTTAAAATTCATTCGATATAAAGAGCATTGGAAATTCAAGAAAAAAATATCAGTAAAATTAAATTCGTGTGTCACTAAGTGAAAAAAAAATCATATTTCCTCTTATCGATGGTACCATATATATAATATAGGCTTAGCAAGTAACTATTTTTTTTTATATTTCATGATGTTTCTAGGCAACCTCCCACTGGAAAACTCTACAGCTGCGACTAAAACGTTTGACTATCTGTGTTGTTAATTAGATTGCCTGTTTTCTTGATATCTGAGTACACTTGAAGCTCGACTGAGAGGAAGAAGGTCAAGTTAAGCAAACGTAATTACACAAGGCGGTTTGCTGATCCCCAGCAGTCATCCATATAAACAGTCTTTATCGATGATGACTAATACAATTTCTGAGGACATTTTGGTATTTTCTCACAATTTCACTCAAATTGACCACGCGTATAAACTCTGTCTTGCACTGAACACAACATAATAAGAACACAGCCTAGAACAGTCAGAACATCGATCTAAAACGTAATAGCAATTTAATTCCAGAGGAAGTAACAGTTTCTTGATAATGACAAAGAGAGCTGTACTGTAACCTCGTTCCCCTCCCTCCATTGATGGATGGCCCTCCTTGATTAGAGATGGGTACCAGAAAACGTAGGACTGGGTCAAAAGGAACTCACTAATAACCGGGAATCTGTCCAAGAAGTCCACAAACAAACTCAATCAATGGGTGATTTATTACATTTTACGGAAAATTGTGAATGCATATCGTGATTTCGATGGTTTATTCAAAGATATTATTTCAGTAGTACAAAATATTCCTAATTTCATTGTCGTCATTGAAAGAAAGAATCGCTTTGGCTTGAAGTAGTATAATTCTGATTGCCTTGAAGTAGTATAAGTCTGAGTTTAACCTATATGAAAATGTTTTTTGACCTCGAAATAGTGGTCAACCAGCTGTCGACTGATAGTCAACTGAATGTCAACTAGGAGTTGAATACTTTCTGAATACTAGTAGCTGTCAATTGCATGAAATAATTCGTTGACCGTCATTGACTGCTTTTTAGATTTCATGTGAGGTCGATCATTAGTTGAATGCTAATAAAATGTACTTTAAAACATGCGTGTCCACTAGATCAGCACTCGAACTGTAAAAAAGAATTGACCATTGTTTAACACAGAGACTTTGTGAAATCCTATTGGGTTGATTATTGTCAGCCACAGTTGGTAAAGCTCTCAGACTTTACTCATGTTGGGTTAAGGTTACATTATTTATGGATTGGCCATGGAATTCAGGAATTCTCACAACAATCCAGATTTAAATTCAAATAATATGTTCAACTTTGTATTTTGCTAGAAAGCGAGAAAATATGAATTGATGTATCAATAAGTTTTTTGTTTGAAGAGTGATTCAGAGTGCACATCCATGTACATGCATGTGTAAAATTCCTGAATTTCATTGTGTTTGTTTTTTTCTCTAAACAATACTGGAAAGACAAATACTGTATCATATATAGGTCCGTAATATTGTGTAGTTGTCAACATGCGACAAGAATTTCAGAGACTTTTCTTGTTAATTTTTATGCCAAGACAAAGATACAGTTAATCCTTTGGTTTTTTATTTCTTAGAATTAAGTCAGATTGTTTATGCTTTAATAATGCATATTAATTAAGAAAATGTTTCAAGCATTAAAGTATTAGGCCTCCACCTATTTGACCCCCCTTCTTTTTCGGACAAAGTTACAGAAACCAAAATTTTGCCAAGCTCACAGCTTGTACCCTCCATTTTTATCAAAAAATTGCTGCTTACTAAAAGCATTCAAGAGTGGTCAACTGCCGAGAAAATATGTGAGCATTCAACAGTGGTCAAATGCTGAGGAAATTTGTGAGCATTCAACAGTGGTCAACTGCCGAGGAAATTTGTGAGCATTCGACAGTGGTCAACTGCTGAGGAAATATGTGAACATTCAACAGTGGTCAAGTGCTGCGGAAATATGTGAGCATTCAACAGTGGTCAAGTGCTGCGGAAATATGTGAGCATTCAACAGTGGTCAACTGCTGAGGAAATATGTGAGCATTCAACAGTAGTCAACTGAACAGTATTCAAAAATGGTCAACTGCACAGAAAATACAGGAACATTAAATAATGGTTAACTACACAGAAAATATAGGAGTATTCAACAGTCGTCAACCGAACAGAAAATTTAGCAGTATTCAACAGTGGGCATCTAATTAAATAAAGGAGTGTGGAATCGTGGTAAACTGCACACTGCACAGAAAATAAATGAGCAATAGTGGTCAATTGTACAGAAAATATAAAAGTATTTAAAAGAGGTCAGCTGCACAAAAAATGCAGGAGCATTCAATAGTGTACAGAAATATTATCATTCAAAAGTTGTCAACTGCACAGAAAATCAACACTGGTCAACTGCACAGAAAATAAAAGAGCATTAAATAGTGGTCAACTGACGTGAAAATGTAGGAGCATTCAACATTGATCAACTGAAAAGAAATCAAAAGAGCATTCAACATTGATCAACTGAAAAGAAAACAAAAGAGCATTCAATATTGGTCAACAGAACAGAAAATATAGGAGTATTCAAAAGTGATCAACTCAACAGTAAATATAGGAGCATTCAACAGTGGTCAATTGTACAGAAAATATAAATAAAAAAGGTCAACTTCACAAAATTTATAGCAGCATTCAATAGTGGACAACAGTAAAGAAATATAGAAGCATTCAAAGGTGGTCAACTGAAAGTAAGTTAGAGGAGTATTCAACAGTCGAAAATTGAACACAAAATGTAAAAATTCAACAGTGGACAACTGAACAGAAAAATAGGAGTATTCAACAGTGTTCAACTGCACTGAATTTATAGGAGTATTCAATAGTGATCAACTGAACAGAATATATAGAAGCATTAACTGTGGTCAACTGAACAGAAAATATGGGAGTATTCAACAGTGGTAACTTGAGGTGAAAATAAAAGAGTATTCGATAGTGGTAAACTACACGGAAATTACAGGGGCATTCAACAGTGGTCAACTGAAAAGAACAACTGCGGCCAACTGCTGTGTATTCTAACACCCTATATGCAAATGAGTTTAATGTACCTTTATTTGAATGACACTAATGGTCAACTGATTATCAACGAACCGTCAACGGAATACTTCAATTGAATTCTCCTATACTTTTTGTTTTGGTATTAGAGTGTGTGCATTCTTTTATCGAACAATACTACAGTTGTCGGAAAATGTCCCTTCGAATCATAAGGATGAAATATGAGGATAGCGAACAGTATTCAATCTCGAAGCATATTGAAACGATTCAAATTTGTAGCAGAGCAAACATGGACCTCAAAATTTAGAGGTGGGATCAGGTGCCATGGAGGAGTGAGCATCCCCTGCCGACCGGTCACACCCGCCGTGTGCTCCGTCATGATCGGGGAAAAACGGAAAAACCGTAGACAGTTCAGTGTATAAATAATGGCCTAACAATTAGTATTGTTAGGCAATTATTTATATATTGAACTGTCAGTCAGTCAGCATTTGACTCAATGATAGGTTGTATGTGCTCACTGGGATATATCGAGTAGACATATGAATGGAAGTAACTATTGTTACTTGATACTACGACGTCGATATATCGAAATATTTTCTTCTTCTCATGTAGAAGTTTTTGAATAAATTATGCTTCATATCAATACCAAAATAGGCCTGCTAATAACGGGGCGTAATTGGTACCCATGGGAATTACAGAAGATTGTTGGAAGACCTGATCTCCAAAACTACATAGATATTGTCAATCAGAAACTCAAGCATCTTTTTAATATCAACTTCAGTGTACTTGTGTGTACAATCAGAATGTGAGTTTACGAGAACCATATTTATTGAAGAAGCAGCTGTCTATGATGTCAAAAAGCCTGAACTTCAATTTATCATGGGGAATGGTTGTATAAAGTGTTGAAAAGTCGTACGTTTTGATGTTATTTATTTTAATAAAATTTTGTGATTTCAAATTTTCTAAATGTTCCTTGGAGTATTTAAGTATCCACATCTGCTTTCCTTCATTACAGTAAATATTTTAATGAGTACTAAAGAAAGAGGCTTGGTAGAACATTTACTTTGTAAGGATTTTTATGAAGTTTAGGAATTCAGTAAAGGTATGGTAATTCAAATTCATTTTGATTGTTGGGAATATTAAAAATATTTTAACGGACATATGTTTTTGAAGAATTTCCTCCTGATAAAAACAATATATACTGGTTTAAACTTTTTAAGAACATCTTTTTGAAGTCCTGACGTGACTTTTGTCGATATGAGAGCCATATGATGAATGATGAAGATAATTAGCAGGGGATTACAGTAAAATCCGCAGACAGTAATTAGAATTCCTTGGGAGCAATCTGTAATCAAATACACTTAAATATCACGTACAAAGCGAACCAATACAAAGTCAATGACTACAAATAACGCCAACTACAAAAAAGGTCTTGTGTCAAAGCCATTACATTCCAGTGTAAGTTATTGTTTAGGTCAGTACAGGTGACCATTAAGGAGCAATGAGCCTCTGCTCTAAATTTCACAAAAATTCGGTATCCTTCCTAACATTGATTTTCATCAGCATGAAATATATGGAGATAACGAACAGTATTCAAGCTCAAAAGTCCATTAAACATTACAAAATAGGTGCAGAGCAAACACGGACCTCCAAAACACCAGAGGTGGGATCAGGTGCCATGGAGGAGTGAGCATTCCCTGCCGTAGTAGCATTGGATTCAAATTAAAAACAGTATGAAGTACGAAGCGGTGCTTACCTTTTCAGAGAAAGAATTTTAGGTCCGACTATGAAGGAAGTTTGACACAGAGAATAGGAAAGATATAATTTATAATCACAACATTAAACTAAAAATATGAAGTACAGCTGTATATATTAAAATATATTTAGTGTCATACATATTAGATTCGTTTGAGAATACATAATAAAGAACTGTTTAAATATAATATTACATTGTTATCTGTGCTTGTAAATATGTGTTGGGATAAGAAAAGAAGACGAAAAACTCTTATCCCTACGGATGTCTATTTCTTTTAAAAGTATTAAATCTGACCACGAGATATTCCGTCTACCTGATCAATATATAGAGCTCACGGCTGGTGTAGCGATCGACAGGGGATGCTTACTCCTTCTAGGCATCTGAACCCACCTCTGGAATTTCCAGATTTATATTTGTAATTTTATTGATCGATCACTGTTCATTATCTTCACATATTTTTATTATTATTAAATTAAGAAATAGAAAGTAAATATGTGACCAATCTGGTGTTCATTTCTTTTGCGTTGCTCCTGTGTTTCCAATACGGACAAAGTTTTTTACCATAATTGTATGACCTCAAATATTACTGCTTTATGTGGGAATTGTGACTTGGGACTTGAGGGAAATCCTCATTTTTGGCTTATATTTGGATTCTTAGTCTTTTCCTTACTTTTTTTTTTTTAAAGAAAACTTAACCAAAAAAGAAAAGATAAAATCTGTAAATATTGTCCACGATATCCATGAAAATTAGGGACTGCGTGTTCGAATTGATTTACATGTAATTCTATCAAAAGTGCAGGAAAGCATAATAACTGAATTAGAGACGATTGATTCAGTTCTGGTGGAGTTTAGTTATTGTGATGTTTGGATGCTGCTATGACAGGAAGAAGGCAATGAGAAGTGATTTTATCATGACAAATGGAGCTGTTTGTCGCCGTTAACAAGAGCTTTCTCCTCCTTACTCTTTCTCATACAAATCAGACCACTCCATTATAAGGTGGATATACGGGCCCAGAGCAACGATAGAAAAAAGAAAATGATTTTTCATCGGCGATAAAAAGTTATTAACGCTAATGAATGCTGCTTGCTTTTATACAAAGCAGTGAGGAGCTGTAATTGAATCATTTACAATGAGGTTATGGTCAAAAACGTTATTATCACAGTTGTATTGAGGTGAAGCAAAACACATGCTCTTTATTAATACACCAGGAAGTATAGAAATATACTGTTCATTAGGTTAGCTGAAGAGGGTACAGATAAAATAAAGGTAATCCTATGTTGCCGTAGTGCAATGAGGTGGTGGTAGTGAAACACAAATTAATAACAATGAATATAATATAATAAGGGGTTTTGTTCAATACAAAATAACTTTCGGTGTAAAGCTAAAATGTTAATAATAAGAAAAGTAAAGGAAATTAAATCAATAATAAAAAAAAATAGAAACACTTAAAAATCTTACCTTATACAATACAATCACTATAACAAATGTTGATGATGCAGTAAAAATCGTTCTGTAGTTCTCCACAAGAAATGTTCCAAACAGTTATATGTCCAACCATTGTATCAATTCACGTTGATGTTCACTGCGATACATTCGTTGCTTTTAAAGTTTGTATGAAATATCAGATATTTGTATAGGAGTTGACGATTCATTTTGAAGTGTAATGATATTTGCCAACATATGTTTGGCTTTAAACTTCTCTCATCAATCTGCTTTTAGCAAAAGAAATCTGCGTCAATTTATCCTTGATTCCATCATGTGGTTTATCCAGTGGTCCACTGACTGGCCTTGGTACTGTCTGTCTGTCAGTGGTTTGTCCAGTGGTCCACTGGCTATGGCTAGAGTTGGTACTGTACGTCTTTTAGAGTTTGCGATATAGCTTGACAGCTGCCGCTTTAACGATGGTTGAAGCTAAAAGCTAATCACAGAGACACTGGCGTTTTGTCATCCACACGTCAAGTAAGCGCTAGGGATACTGCGAGACTGTTTACTATATCGAGTGGTCAATCAAACAGGCTCACGTGCAGTGTGAAAACCTCGCTGTTGCATTCTTAGAATGAATCAATATTGCAGCACGCTACATATTTTTTCACTAAAACTCTTTCAGCACACCCTACCTCTAGTAAAAAATTACCATAATTTCAAATTCTATATAAAGAATCGCATATAGAAAATACATTTAATTTGCCTTTTTTTTACTCTTATAATTCATGAACACTTTAATAAATGGTTTTAAATGATGTTCGTATATGTAAGTTTTTATAGGTATGATACATATGTATATCTACTTTACAGTTACTATACTATACACGAGTAATTGAGTCAATGATTGTTAAACTCCATAACAATAGAGTTTTTTCAAAGAATTTCACCACCCGGAGCCAGAAAATGATTTTATGGATATCACTTTTTAAGAAAGTACAGCTATCTTTACATTAATTATTCATTATATTTATTTTGAATACAACACAAAGTAAAATTTACTGGAAATTATAAAGGTATAAGCTTTTTAAGTATTAATTACTAAATAAAGATTGTCTTTGAGTATTTAAAGGTTGAAATGAACAAATTGTGTAAAATGACAGATTGTATCTTTCAACAAAGTTATTGTTTCGAGCATAGAATTTGCAAAATGTTGACAACAAACGAGATTGTTCATACCCTTGTATTAACATCTTATTTGTCAATAGACTGTCTCTGTTTAAAAATTATTTGTACGTAGAACATGCCCTTGCGTATCGAATCAACACATCATGTAGGTGAAAAAATTATATTGCTATAAAGACAATGGAAGTTGACAAGAAAAAAAGTTGAAGTCATCACGTTTATCATAAATTTTGTTGTTTGTTTGCATTAATCAAGTAATGAAAAACAGAATCTAAACATGTTTATTTCTGAATATCAAATGTTTGATTTTGTTTTAAAAAATCGTTTATCTTCATCCAACATAGATATCTTAAAACAGTACAAAACAATCACCATCAATATTAATATGCTAGATAGCTGAAGCATGTAAATGAATTTTTTCTACAGTAATTGATAGGGTTAGAGTATACATGCATTAAAATTGCGCCTTTAATGTATATAATTAATTCATAACTATTTTTGACCAAACTTAAACATATCCTTTTAGTAGTAAGCATGATTTATAGACCATAGCAGACACTGAATTAATTTTTTAAGACGAAATAAGGAATTCATATAAAAATACATACTGAGTTCGAGATTTTGCTAAAACTATACATAAATATAAAAACAATGAAAACAAAGAAACAAAAAATATAGGTAAAATACATGTACAGTACTTAGTATAACATTTTTTTAAATGGAAATGTTGTCGAGAAACCAAGAACTAGTATATACTTAATTGAAAAGAAAACAATTGTTGCTTCAAACTTTTATATCATAATCACAACAAAAAAGGCATAGGTTTTTTTTCAAATTATTTTTCATATGAACCGTCATCCAAATCCATCCATGTCTACATCTGCAATGATATCACAAAGGTTTTTATTTAGCTTAACAGCTACACGCATTGCATCTGCATCATACTTTGCTTTTTATTATTTATTTTTCCTTTCCAATATAGTACAGAATTTTCCTGAGAATTTACCCGTCGATAAGTTTAGTGATTTCGAGTAAATGAGACTTTGGTAGCTGACCTAATAATGTTCAAGATCTATCACGGCTAATGGTTTACTGCCATACAAATATTTTCTCTGTCTTTCTTTGCTATCATAATTTTGAGAAGGTATATTTTTGAATTTAATTACGTAGCCTATGTCAACTGGATCCACATCGTAAAAAATGTGTGCATACATTCTTAAAATAATTGCAATTCATATCTCATAATTATATTAACACATGCTTTCACATGTGAAAACATATACCCATGCCAGTCATTTATAAGTGAGTAGGATAATTAATATCACCATGCAAAACTTTATACAACTGTATATATTTGATGAGCTGTGACTGTGTTTCAGGAAGAATTGTATATTTTTAGTGTATATGAGGGCGATAACCACCAGGAATCACGTGTTTATCCATTTTTAAGTGATTGGCTGTTTATGGAATCAATTACGACCATTTCAGTTATCACATTCACAACACATCAAAATAGAAATATATTCCATATATCTACATGGTTTTTGACAAGCAAAAAACAAAACCAAAAAAAGAAAAAAAAAAACAAAACAAAACAAAAAACCAAAAAAAAAAAAAACAACAACAACAAAAAAAAAAAAAAAAAAAAAAAAAAAAAAACAACAACAAAACAAAACAAAACAAAAAAAACAAAAACTAAAGTACTTCCCTTAACCTAAAACCCTATTTCGTTTGAAGGGGACACTTTCCTAAGTCAATTATCTTCAGATGGATAACTCTCCTTACCGTTTTTAGAGGAGTCCGTGTTACCTGGGCGAGTCAAAGGTCATTTCTTTTTGTTACTTTTACATATTAATTGAATAAATCTGCAAATTCAGGGGGGGGGGGGTCTGGACCTTCTTCCCCCGGACCCCCCCCCCTTTCTAAATCCACCCTTGGTATCTTAAAATGTGTTTTAACTATATTTAATATTTGAATAGATACTTACAAAACGGATAATAGTAATAACATCTGGATCCATAATAATGAGTTCTGCATCTGAAACAATCATGCATTAAAATGTCATGTAAGATTTGTACAGGTCCGATTTGTTGCCAGATAAAGTCCCGCAAAATAACATCTCAGATGTTCAGGAAAACATACTGCCAAGTCCTGCAAAAGGTTTTGTAGCATTTCATCTTTCGACACCTGTTTTGTTTTCCTTTATTTCTCATATTTGACATCGGAAGTCAAAAATGAAAATGCGGTTTTCAACAGTATTATTTAGAAAAAAAAATTGTTTTCGAATTTCTTGAATTTAATGTACATTAGTGTATTTTGACTAATAGGTGAATTACTGAGAAACCAATGCTTAGATATTCAGTGAAACTTAGTTAACTTTCTTTCATAAGGTTGACGGATGTCTTGTCTTCTAGAAAATAACCAAACCTAATTGCCAAACGGAGCTTACAAGATCGTATAATTTCACCTGCTTAAAATGATGAACTCTATACACACACACACGCACTTGCGATTTTTTTTTCCACAATGTGAAGAACAGATCAACATGTACTTTTTAAGGAATGTCTTTTATAGAAAGAAATTTAAAGAAAGATATAATTGTACAGTACATATTTTATTTAAAACAAAAGGACTCTTAAAGTCGCTTGGTCTGATTTGTATGGTAAAAAGAACTATTTTAGGTTTTTCGAGAAAAATAATTGTGCATAAAAAAATTCACTTTCGTTAAATTGTATGCTTAGATTGGGTTTCTTCTAAAAGATATTAATATATAAAATTAAAAAAGTATTTTTGTTACGTCACACACACACACACACACACACACACAAAACAAAGACAATAACACCCTGTGCATGTTCATTGGCAAGGTACACAAATAGCATGTGGCAGTTGAACAAAAATGTGGTTGTCCTAAAGCACTAACGGACTCTGAGAGTAAAAAAGAGGGAATGGAACTAGGATATGAGAGATCGCAAAGCAGTATATTTATAAAGAAAAGCACACGGAGCAGTGGATCACTTGGGATAATAATAATACAACATGTCTAAAGATTACTTCTTGTTCCCAGCCTTGACATTCCAATCTGTGTGGCTTTTAGAGTGACATGGTCTCGTCATTTAAATATTGAACTGTTGTTTTTTTTCAACATGGTTTCTTATATATGTTGTAATAACCGAAGAAAAAGGTTGTATTTTTATTTTTACACATACTCTTTGTATACAAGTGTTTCTATTGTGTAAGAAAATATATGAGTCTAAATCGGACCAAGCGACTTTAACGAAAAGCATTTTGTCGGATTTGAAGATCATTTCATTTGTTCTATGCTTACAGACAATGTGTAGTTCGTCCTTCTATCAACAAAACAAAGCAGGTTCCATTGTTCAGACACGCCTGATGCTGAATTTCTTCTGGGGTACATGGCTGACGATGTGAGTTGTAAGTTGTGACGTCATTCTCTACTGTGCTAGATAGTATTGGTTGTGACGTAGAATGTTTGACTTGACTTGTGATTTGTATATTTCCGTTAGTAACTCGTGCTGTCTGTTGAACGTCTATGATACTTGGTGAATTTCTAACTGAAACATCCACTACTGTATGTAATAAGCATTTAACAGGATAATTTTCCTGTCAACCAGAGCATGACATAAGAGAAATTTCCATAACATATAAGAAATGGGCGAACCTCAAAGTATTATTAAATTATAATAATAAAACTGTCTCCTACTATTTTCTTCAATCCTTGACTATCGATTTATACTGTTCATCAGAACAAAAAGGGAGTTTTTCTTTCCTAACCATATCCAGATAATCATTGTTTATCTTCTGAAATTGACATCTCTAGTGTTCCATACTAGAAATTACATATACTCTAATCAACACCTACACAAAGGTGGTATTTATACAAGGTACTGCCCTGTAACTTGACTTTGGCCTTTGAGCACTTCATTCATGATGTTTTTTTTTATTTTATACAATTATTTGATTCTACTCTATTCAAGGGTTCCTTGTTAAACCTGTACATTGTCGTGTTACCCTGATCTTTGAATAATGTGATCTTGAGTCCAGATGATGATTTCATATTTTTCATGGACAGCAATTTACTTAAGTTTGATTTTACGTATCCTCGTACTCCAGCCGAGAATTCCATTGCTCTATAGCGGTCATGATGTCAACATATCGTTTGTCATTGACTTTCTTGACCATCTCACAGTTGCCTCCTGATAATCTTCTTTTAGGTCATACGCAACAGTGTACCAAAGGTTGAACTCATTCCAGGTTAGAGTTTCATAGTTCTGGCCCAGAGACAAAAGCCAGGCAGACAAAAATATATACTCATAACAGTAGATTTTCACACGTTTTAGGTAATAGATTACAGATATTTCTCAGAATCATAGTGTAAAAAAACGGAAATACATGTAAATAAATGATAAATGAAAAGCCTTGAAATATATGATTAAATGAAATTGTATCTGGTCATTTCGCCCTCGGTTAGTTGTACTTGTACGATTATGCAAAGAGAATATCTTGCTTTTCCAATACGTTTTCCTTTTTTCTTGTATTCTTACTTTTTCATTCTTATATCGAAAGCAATGAAACAAAAATAGTGGGTAACGTTAGAATTTCATTGGAACAATTATTATCAATTGTCAATAGTTTGGAACAATTTAATGCCATCGGCATAAACCCAAAATGGTCAATTTCAAATGAGTTATATCATCATTATCTTTGCTTGATTTGACTCATATTATAAAAATAATAAGATATTAAAAAAAATAGGATTATATACCGAGTAATACTTTCTCAGTATAGAGAAAAATGACATTGAGACCAAAAGTTTTTAAATCTTATATTGCTTAAGCATCCGTTTTAATGTGAAAATAACACTTATATTAAGTGAGACGGTTGGTCAACAACTTACTAAACAGATCCAAATAAATATTATAAATATGAATTTTCTAGATATTAACTATTATTTAAGAAAGAAATAACACATATTCGAGCTATGATATTTAATTAAACTTTCTACAGTAAAACATGATTATAGCAAACATGTTTATAACAAATTGACGCTTATAGCGAAGTTATTTTCATTCCTCATGACTTTAAAATATATTGTAAACTGAAAATGGTTACTTTTCCGTGGACAAAGCTGCTTCTCTTTTATAAGGAGTCAGTATACCAGGGACATGTGTTTCTGCACAACAGCGTACAATAAATAAAATATTTACAGATGTTTTGGACATTCAGACTCATGGTAGGACATGGCGGAACACTGATTACACCGAAGATTACGTTATTTCTAATATTGGCTTGAAATATTCGAATATTATCATCTTGAAAACGATGAAGCTTTGCTTTGTTTGAAAGTATAGCTCCCTATTATCAGATTGTGTTTGCAAATTTTAGGTAAAAATTCATCGCATTTCTATTTTTCTGATAATTTTTCAGACTATTAATTGGGTGAGCAATTTACGCATGACTGAGAGTGGTTGTGATCGGCAACTTAAGTACTAATGCTAGAAATACATTCTTCGCTCTTTGAAGTCAGAGATACATTGCCTGATCCCTGTAAATTTTTGACTGAATTAATTTCATTCCATTAATTTCATTGTGGTTAATGGCCAATCTGCATACTACAATGTAATTGTACCAATCTAATGTTCAAGAGGACTGAAGAAGAAATTGAGGAAATACTTGCAAGTCAATTCCTCCCATATCTGAACCTGTAAATAAATATCCATCTTCAAGGATAAAAGTCTAAAACTGCAAAATACTATTGTCCTTAGTAACTTGATTGATTGATTGATTGTATGTTTTTTAAGGTCCCGTTCGAGGATTTTCTCTCATGTACAGAATTCACCATATACCGGCGAAGGGCTTCAGATTTAGACCCAAACTCGGCACTCGGGGTCATTGAGCAGTGAGGGATCTTTATCGTGCCAACGTCTATCGTGACAAGGGGACAAGGCGATTTTCAAGGTCTTATTTGAAAAATCTGCAACTGGCGAGCGCTTAGAGAAGGAACCGTTGCTACCTATTTTTATCGACTTAGGTCAGTCGCGGCTTTAGGTCAGGTTTGAAGCTCTTCCGATCACGGAGCGAGCGCTCTTCCGACGGAGCTATAGTATACAGGGTAATTTTCGCCCCATGTAATTTTCACCCTTTCAAACAACTTTGCCCCATTTTAGAGTCGCCCAGTCACAGTTCTGTTTTGGATATTATACTGTGTTCTTTGAATTCGCACAAATTTGAATTCGCCCACCTATGAGTAGGGCGAAAATAAAACGGGGGCAAACATTTCCCTGCATACAGTATCTTGACTGTCCTTTGAAGCTTAAATGTAAAGCTCAAGCTAACTGCAGGCTACCGACGTATTCCCCAATTCTAATACAAGGTTTCAGGCTATCAAGGAAAGTCGAGTGACATCGCAAAATAAATAGATGATCAAGTTGAACCCTTTATTCATTCATGATATTGCCCTTATTGCGTGCATTGTAGTGCAGCTGAGCAGAATGAAAATAATGTATATGGGGCGTATATTATTGTTCTTTGTATATATAAAGCAACGCGCCTTTGAAATATTGGTATTAATCTTCTGATGAACAGAAAAGATCATCTTATATTATAGTTTGAAAATAACTTATACCTGTCTGAAATAAGTAATTCCTAAATATTTTACCACTTTTCATGTTTCAGTTTTACAATGCAGGGAATTTATTGTGTTACAGCATCGATGCTGACTTTTTTTTTATCCTTTGCTTGCTGATTTGAATGCTTCCTTTGTCTGCTGATGTAACGTTAGTTATCATGATCTATGTATCAAATGAAATATATGGAGATAACGAACAGTATTCAAGCTCAAAGGTCCATTAAACAATACAAAATAGGAGCAGAGCAAACACGGACCTCCAAAACATCAGAGGTGGGATCAGGTGCCATGGAGGAGTGAGCATCCCCTGCCGACCGGTCACACCCGCCGTGTGCTCCTTGTCATGATCGGGATATAACGGAAAAATCCGTCGACAATTCAGTGTGTAAATAATGGCTTAACAATTAGTATGAAAAACGTCAGTCAATAAGTTCTCTACATTGTACCTTAGATACCTTAAATACATGAAAAAATCATGAAGATCAACTACCCCGGTCTCTGAAGCTTTAAAGGCAGAAAATGTTTGTGGCAGTGCACACTTGCTGCAATTTTAAGATCTTCTTGGAAAATGGAATTAACTTAGAAATTCTTTCAAAATGATGTGGGTTTTTCGTCTATAGTTTTAGTCTGATTTCGAAAACAATTTGGTGCAATTAAACAAAACCTCTAGATACAAATGTCTGTAGATTTAAACTCAAAAAGGAAATTTTACAATTGCACATTTTCTTTTTAAAATATTAGAAATCACACCAGTTGAGCTACACTCTCATCAGAGACATCTGCTTTTTATCATGAACTCTACCCTTTTCAATGCAGTATATGTTTGTTTTTGGAGTTGTTGTATCTTTATCAAGGATGATCTGTGTGTCATAACGGCAAAATATATATTAACCATTATTTTATATCAATTTTCAATTCTTTATCTGATACAGAGGAGTCGGACACGTGATGGGTGCGAACGGTCGACAGGAGTATGCTTGCCCATCCCAGAAAGCTGCTCCCACCTTTGATTTTTTTTCCCAGGGGTTTATGTCCTCATCACGATCAATATTGTGATTTATAAAATTGATAATTGTTCCTTATCTTTACCTTCTTCAATTTAATAGTGTAAAACCAGGCTGTCTCTATCCACTGGCGGATTTAAGGGGGGGCGTGGGGGGCGCACGCCCCCCCTAAAATTTTCAAAGTATGATATGACTAATATCAATAATGCCATACTTTGGTATATAACAAACCAATACCGCTATTTTTGTGCCTGGTTTTACTCTTAAAATACACGAAAACCCAGGAGCTTCCGGGGGCTTCGCCCCCTGGGCCCCCACCAGGGCTTCCCCTGGACCCAATGGGGGCCTTAAGGCGGCCCCCAGACCCCCTGCCTGAACAAAGTTATCCACGCCCCCCCCCCCCCCTTATCACAAATCCTGTATCCGCCCATGCTATCTTTATCTTATGTACATTGACACCGTAATCTGACGTAACCTTTGTGTTTATTTCACACATGAAAAGAAAGCCATATACTTACCAACTCCTGCGGCAATTCCTGATACATACACACACAATATCACTGTAGAAGTCATGTTCTGTGTTTATTTCTATTAAACTGTCTCAGACATTTTAGTCTAACTTCTGCACAACCCTTACATAATTTTGATCAGATTTATTAAGATAAGAACGCGGTCGGAAGTATCGCTTGGTGCTCCAGCTTTATAAGTTCTAGTGGACACCTCTTTCGCACGAAAGATTTTTTATTTAGATAGAATTCCATAGTATAGTATATAACTGAATACTGAATTCTAATTTGGACAACTCCGTGAAACTTTGCTATAACAATTTGACATTTGATGAATCTTTATTCTATGACTGATTTTGAGATTTAGACTTTAAATCCTTTCAATTTTCACATCCATCTACAAATTGCATTTGAAAATTGAAAGGAATGAAATAAATCAATTTCATAGTACATACTTGAATGCGTACTTTTATTTACTTTATTAAAAACTGTAAAAACTGCTTTGGTTAATTTTAGTTTTAAAAATACGACATTTTCATTTATTCAAAGGAATGGTATCTTAGAGAGGAAATAAATGACTGAAAGTTTTCAACACAAAGAAAAATGTAGCTTAATAACAATATAATGCGTTTAATTTTCGATGCCATTAATCATATTCATTTTGAAATAAAATCACAATTATATTATTCATTAAATCGTTTCAACATTTTTACATTGGTATTAAATGAGATATGGAAATAACGAACAGTATTCAAGCTCAAATGTCCATTAAAACAATGCAAATCATGAGCAGAGCAAACACGCACCTCTAAAACATCGGAGAGGGGATCAGGTGCCATGGAGGAGTAAGCATCCCCTGCCCAATGGTCACACCCGCCGTGACGACTCCTTGTCATGATCGGGAAACACTGAAAAAACCGTAGACAACATATATAGATATATAAATAATGGCCCGACAATTAGTATGAAAAACGTCAGTCAGCATTTCACTTAATCTTCATAAAAATCCTTACAAAGATACATAGCGGGTTCCAGTAAATGTTCAACCAAGCCTCTTTCTTTAATCCTCACTAAGATATTAACAGTGGTAAAGGAGAAACTTCAAGAGTACTGTGCAACGATATATTCGAGAAGTGGTGTAAATCAAATGTGGATACTTAAAAATTCCAAGGAACTTTTGGAAAATTTGAAATCACAAGATTTTACCAAAATCAACAGCTTAAAAACTTACGACTTTTCTACTTTATACACAACCATTCCCCACGATAAATTCAAGTCCAGGCTTTTTGATATAATTGACGGCTGCTTTTTCAATAAAAATGGAACTCGTAAATATACTTACCTTGTCATTGGTCATTTGCAAAAATATTTTGTTAAAAACATTCTGATTGTACACACAAGTACTCTGAAGTTGACATTAAAAACATGCTTGAGTTTCTGATTGACAATATCTATGTGGTTTTTTTATCATTGAGTCAAATGCTGACTGACCTTTTTCATACTAATTGTTAGGCCATTATTTACACACTGAATTGTCGACGGATTTTTCCGTTATTTCCCGATCATGACAAGGAGCACACGGCGGGTGTGACCGGTCGGCAGGGGATGCTCACTCCTCCATGGCACCTGATCCCACCTCTGATGTTTAGAGGTCCGTGTTTGCTCTGCTCCTATTTTGTATTGTTTAATGGACTTTTGAGCTTGAATACTGTTCGTTATCTCCATATATTTCATTGTATTTGTTGGCAATGTCATTGTATCGGCCACAGAGCCTGCGAAATGATAACTTTGAACGAAACTGTTGATATCCTTGTTTCATCAACTTATTTGTCAAGAGCTTGTCTCGTTTGAGAATTTGTTCGTACATGGAGCATACTCGTGTGTATCGTATAAACTGGGAGATGTAAACTCCATATACAGGTGATCAGGGTACATATTTTTACATAAGTAAGGGAATTTGACGATAGAAGAATTGAAGTCATCGCGTTCATCATAACGTTTTGTTGTTAGGTTACACTTAACATCTTTTTCTAGTAAAATATCCAAATAGGGAACAGATGCATCAGACTCTGTGGTATCTTTTATATCAAGTCCAGGCTGCTATCTCATTGTCCGTCCTGAATAAGGCATCTAACACTGAGTGTAGTAGTTGAAGGGCTATCATATATATTGTCCGTCCTGAATAGGGCATCCTACGGTATATGCTGTAATCCGAGTGCGACTGGTCTCTTGTGTCAATCATTTATAGTTTGCCTCTGATTATTATAGTGATTTACCATTGAATTATTGTTAACCTACATAACGTTAGGACATACCTGTATATTTCGGCAGTCCGCTAAAATCATACCAATTATTTCAAATCAATGTTGAACACCCCAAACCCTGGAATTGAGCGAGTACGATCCCAGTATTTAATGTAAATACGTTACAATTGATAATACGTTATCGGTATATATAAATGTCGACAGGGCCACAGCAAGTGTCTTCTCATGTATAAGTTTTTGAATAAATTCTGTTTCATATAAATGCAAAAATAGGTCTGATAAAAGCCGGGTGTAATTGTTACCCATGGGAATTCCGACAGATTCCTAGAAGACCTGATCTCCAAAAAAACTATATAGATATTGCCAATCGAAAACTCAAGCATTTTTTAACTTTTTTCTTCAGAGTACTTGTGTGTACCACCTGAAAGTTTTTTAACAAAATAATTTTGCAAAAGACCAATAAGGTTTTGCATAAAGTCTGTTTCATATGAATGCAAAAATAGGTCTGATAATCCATGTTAATTCCGACAGATTGTTAGAAGACCTGATCTCCAAAAACTACATAGATATTGTCAATCAGAAACTCAGGCATTTTTAATATCTACTTAGAGTACTTGTGTGTACCACCAGAAAGTTTTATAACAAAATATAATTTTGCAAATGACCAATCACATGAAAAGAAAATTTACGAATTCCATTTAAAAAAACAACAACAGTTGTCTATGTCAAAAAGCCTGGACTTTAATTTATCGTGAGGAATGGTTGTTTCATATTTGGATATTTTATTAGAAAAAGGCGTTAATGGTAATCTAACAACAAAGCCTTATGATAAACGTGATGACTTTAACTTTTCAATCGTCAACTTCCCTTACTTATGCAGCAATATACCCTTATCACCTGCATACGGGGTCTATATCTCTCATTTGATTCGATACTCCAGAGCATGCACTACGTATGAACAATTTCTAAAGCGAGGTAAGTTCTTGACAGACGAGTTGATGGAACAAGAATATCAGCAGTCTCGTTTAAAGTCATCATTTCATAAGTTCTATGGTCGACACAATGACCTTGTCAGCAAATACGATCTTTCATTAAGTCAAATTCTGACTGACTTTTTTCATACTAATTGTTAGACCATTGTTTACACACTGAATTGTAGACGGATTTTTTCCGTTATTTCCCGATCATGAAAAGGGGCACACGGCGGGTGTGACCGTTCGGCAGGGGATGCTCACTCCTTCATGGCACCTGATCCCACCTCTGGGGACCAATGACAAGGTAAGTAAATTTACGAGTTCCATTTTTATTGAAAAAAGCAGCTGTCAATGATATCAGAAAGTCAGAAAGCCTGGCCTTTAATTTATATATTCTTGGTGTAATATTCCTATAACACTTGCATATGGTATTCAATCCCTATGCTAGAACATACTTTGTGTACAGACAATTTCTAAACAGAGAAAAGATACTGACAAATACGGTAGGTTTCAACAGTTTCGGTTATAGTCAGAATTTCGAAAGTTCATCTAAGGACCATTTTATTGACCTCCTTTGCAAATACATGTACGGTCTATCGTTAGGTTGAATTTTGAATGACGCATACCATTTGTTAGGCCAAAGTCTTTATACAAATTTTGATAATGGATTACATGAAGGGAAATAATTCTAATTATCCCTTGTATGAAAGGGTACCATATGGGGATATTTTTATCAAGATGACAAGGTTTATATTGATACATTATACTAGGGTCATTCAAAAATTTCGTAGCATTTTGTCATAACCTTTTTCTTTAATGACATATTATAACCAAACTGGGTAGACATATTTTTACAATAAATTAAAATGACTTGAATAAAAAAGTCAAATATATCACAATAAATACAAAATTATCTAAAGTTTTAGACCATGAAAATGGGGTCACAGAGCAAGATCAAAATTTAGTAATTCACTTATAAAACACTTTATAATGCCCATAGCTATATTTATAATAAATTGATGTTAAACGAAATGAAAATTAAACGTTCAAATCTAGTTTTGTTATATAATTTTAGATATCAAATTTTAATGTAATACATTGCTTCGTTGAAAAGAGTTCAATTTCAGAAGACAAGTAGTTCTCTTCAACAAAAGCAAAAAAGGATGACGCCGAAGAACGTCACCTAGCAGCGAATATCGATATAATTTTGTTTTGCACTATGGAAAGCTCTAAAACAAACTCTGAAAATACTGGAGAAACCGGGAAATATATCAAGAATGAGTCATACATTTGTACAATTTCTGAATGATAGCGATTTTGAATTGGATGATGAACGGTCTGCTAGGAAATAAATTAAAGGTTTAAAAGAGTAAGAAACATTATGGAAAGTGATGTGAGCTTCACAATTGTAGAAATTGTGAGAGGAGAATTAAGCGGTTAAGATTTTGAAAACACTGACAAGCCAAATCATGCTTCTCAAACAATAGTTAGGTATCTAAGTGTCATGTGTTATGAAGACGTTTTCACTGAATGTAAGACGTTATACAGACCGTGTGTCATGTGTTATGGAGACGTTTTCAGTGAATGTGTAAGAAGTTATACAGACCGTGTGTCATGTGCTATGGAGACGTTCTTACTGAATGTGTGAGACGTTATACAGACCGTGTGAGAATGTATAAGACGTTATACAGACCGCGTGAGAATGTGTGAGACGTTATACAGACCGTGTGAGAATGTGTAAGACGTTACACAGACCGTGTGAGAATGTATAAGACGTTATACAGACCGTGTGAGAATGTGTAAGACGTTATACAGACCTTGTGAGAATGTATAAGACGTTGTACAGACCGTGTGAGAATGTGTAAGACGTTATACAGACCGTGTGAGAATGTGTAAGACGTTATACAGACCGTGTGGGAATGTGTGAGACGTTATACAGACCGTGTGAGAAATGAAGAGGGAAAGTGTTTTTGAGAAACTTTCACGACGTTCTTTTTGACGTTAGGCCTTATATTGCTGAGAGTGCTTCGTGCTGATAAAACATATTGGTTTTAAAATTAAGTAACATAAGTTCCGTTTAATCAAACGGAATGAAACTTAGCACATCGACAAAATATATTTTTTACAATTGAATATGTATTGTTCTTAGATATTGTAAAATGGTATGATAAAGAGCGACTTGTCTACATAATCATTTTATCATTAAAAGAGAAATAAGTCAGCATGCATGCCACTGAAATCACACTGAATTGTCTACCGATTTTTCCGTTTACTCGATCATGCCAAGGAACGGGTGTGACCGGTCGACAGGGAATGCTTACTCCTCCATGGCATCTGATCCCACCTCTGATGTTTTCAGAGGTCCGCTTTTGCTCTGCTTAGACTACATTTATATAACAAATAGTTACAGACTACATCTATAGAGGGATCTTACTTGTACAGGCCCATAGGAAGCAATTTCAGTTTGGGGGAGGAGGGGGGGGGCACAGCTAAACATTTTCAGTTGGGGGGCACTATCAACTACCAAAATTCCTTTACAAACCCCCCCCCCCCCCCAAAAAAAAAAAACAAACAAAAACAGGTCATCAGACGTTTTTATTGAGGGGGCACAGGCATACAGTAGCTATGTTTTCTATAGTAATCTATATATCCGCAAAATTGTGTCCCCCGGTTCCGACGACCATGTTGTATATTAATCTTATTTTGTAGATTATAGGGAAAACGTACATGATTTGGTGTAAAACAATTAGAATGTATATTGGGAGTATAAAAGTTCTGCCTATTAACACCTACTTAATCAATAGCACTTCAGTGTCTTATGAAAACAGTGGTGACAAAGATGATGTGATTAGATAAGATTTGCTATCTCAAATGGATAAAAACAGAGATTAATCAATTTTCTTCTCAAATATGAAACCTTACATCACAGATGAAACCATTAAATAACAAAGGGGGAATCATCCTTAAACATTGCCTCAATTTGGATAATCGATCAAAAAAGGGAAGGATAAATGAAAACAGGTTTCAGAAATTGTTGTTTCATCTTTTTGTGGAAATCACGTGGCCTTAAACATTAATTGTCAACCTGAGATAGGAATTGAACAGAATGTAATGTATGCATATTTCTTTTTATACACATATGAATATCGTAAAATATGGTAAATATAATGGCCTAACAATTTGATTGATTGATTGATTGTGTGTTGTTTTACGTCCCGTTCGAGAATTTTTCACCAGACGTCACCATATACTGGTGAAGGGTTTCAAATTTAGACCTTTACTCGGCACTCAGGACCATTGAGCAGTGAGGGATCTTTATCGTGCCAACGCCTACCGTGACATGGGGTCTCGTTTTTTAAGGTCTCGTCCGAAAGACAACTTTCACTTCAAAGTGCCGAGCACTTGGCGAAGGAACAGTTGCTGCCTATTTTTTATCGACTTAGGTCAGTTGCGGCCGTGATTCGAACACACGACCTTCCTATCAGGGAGTAGCATTCTGAAAGAATTTCATAGATTTTTTTTAATAACCATGGCAAACCTGTTCGTCCAAGTCAAAACTGATAAACAGAATTAAGTACCTTAGTTTCCTCTCTGTGTGTAACAAGTCTTATTGAAATCATTGAAAAAAAAATCACAGAAATTTCTAATTTTAGTTGCCATGGCAACACTTTTGGTCGAAAGCAAAAGCCGATAACTAGAATTAAGAAGGACATTAAATTTACTTACATTGATAATCTTAGTGCTAATTTCAGTAGAAGGAGCTTCAACTTTTTCTGATTGATTCCAAATCATGGAATTCCATTTAATTGATAAAACAATTATTAATCATTATTACAATAAAATAATTAATTTCTCCGATTTTCTTTTAAATGTATACCTGTCAGTCGATCACTTTCGGTAAAATGCACGAAATAATCATGCCATTCACAGTATAACAAGCAGTTTATATGTAATTTTGGTAAATGACAAAGGTATTCCAAGAAATAGTTTATCTTTATATTCCTTTGGTAAAGTGTTAACGATATATCTGTGAAATAAAATGTCTATGAAAAACTAAATGAAATGTCTAGCTGCGAAGTTTTGTTTTTGAGTGATGAAAATTTATATTTTGTATATTTTAATGAAGAATTTGATTTTTTTTAAAATAATACTTTGGATATGTAGTAGACCATGTATATGTTTATACATGTATTCATATTTTGATAATTTTACCAAATGTTGTATAAGGAGAAGACTATCTACGTTCAAGAACTTGAGCCTGACCCCTTTTACTTTTTGTCAATGAAATATGTTTCTTCAGTGAATTAAAGTTATCTTTCCTGCTACTGACTTCATACGAGAACATTCTTGTGGCACATTTTTACATTTTCATTTATAACTCACTTGTAATAATAGTAATTATTCCACGTGCCATAAAATGTCAAACACTCCGCGCATGAAACACTGTTCAAATATTAGATCAAGTCTTCAGATAAAACTTTATCTGTTTTGTTAGAAAAAAGTAGTTTTGCATAAGAATAGTCCAACAAATACAAAAAACATGGAGTTTTCCGGTCGATATGATTGTCGTTAAAATGCACGTTTATCGTCTCTGCAACAATTTATTTCAGATATATTTTATGTCTTCGTATTTTAGTATGAAATCACCTAACTCAATAAAAATCCATTTCCATTACTTTTTTCAGTAAAATAGATATAAAAATAGATTTTTCATAATTTATCTTCTCATGATTTACTTCCCTTGATAGATAATTACCTTAACACCCAGGTAACGTCACTGCACGCCTCACCTGGACGAGAGGTTACACATTCCCCAGTCATGGAATTTCTGTATACTTTGACGACTTTCCTCTTTCTAGGTATTGTTTTATTCCATCTTTATTTGAAATAATCTTAAAAATTCTTGGCTTTATGATCCAACATACAATTGTATCATACATCATTGCAAGCTTTATTTAGGGAATTTTTGAGATTAAAAAGTGAATATTTTATATATCGTCCTGAATTGAAGAATTATGTTTATGAAGTTGCTCATGTGCATGGAGAAACACCAAAGAGAAAATAGGGCACACAAACTGTACATGTGAAAACAAAAACTCTGATCACCCTTTGTCATAGATTAAATTTGATTTTCGTTTAATTTTCCCTGCTTTGAAGTATTTTTGCAATTAAAGAAATGATTGAAAAATTTGCTGTATTTTTACACTGGATAAAGATTTGTGCTATTATTGGACTATAACAATGAGAAAGAAATTGATGAATCGTTTATTGAATTTGGTTTTTAATGCTACTTCCTTTTGGTATTCTAAAATCAATACCCCATAGAAACAGATTTATCATAAAAACAGTCAAATGTTTAGGAAAAAATGCAAATTATTTAGAAGCATTACAGAATTTAAAGGGTTCAGAATTTGGTCAATTTGAATTTTTATGCGTCAGCTTTTGCAACATTATCGATTTAAGAAAATGAAGTAGTTTACTTAAACTTTTTTTTTTTTTTTTTTTTTTACAATTTTAGTACACTTTTCTTTTAAATGATAGCAATGACTTTGGGAGAGTGTATATTATTAGCATAAGCTGCCTAGATATCCTTTGTCAATCCTTTTATGAATTTACTTTCTTTATTTTAATATTAAAGTCTATATAAATAAATCTCAATAGCGCATTGTTTACTAAGTTATGTTAAAACCGAAAGGAAGATTTCTCAGAAACGTATCCGTTTTCAAAAATTCACCTTTTTTTTTTTACCTGTCTCTATACTTGATAATGAAAACTGATGCTTGTTATAACTTGCCCTGTATCGGCAATTTTGAATTTACGTCAGGGGCCCTTTTTTTCTAGGACGAATTCTAATAAATCTACAATGATTTTAATAGTTTTCAAACAAGAGTGAATAAAAATGACACCGTCAGTTCTCAATAGTTCGGATACTAAATCATTATGAGGAAACCGCATTATCGTTGATTTTGTAGACAATGTAACAGCAAAATTCATCCTGGTTTGTGACCATTTGTTGTTTTATGACTAAAAATGAAAAGAATTAGTGGGTCTTAGTACAGTAGAGGGAATTCATGTCAAGACAGAGTAGGTTTTCATATCACGTGACAATGTTTACCAGTACAGATGTATTTTTGGGAGTTGAACACCTCAAGCAATCAATTCATTATCAAAATACGGATATGTAGTTTTAAGTAGATGTTTATTAATTTTTTTATAATCAACAATTAACAAAGCTATAGATTGATTGTCTACTCAAACGAAGCCAAAATCGCGACGATATGAGCTGACAAGTTGTGTCGACCACATGTGAGACCAGGGGCCCGTTTCACAAAGCTAACTTAGGACTAAGTTATATCTTAGGAAAGAACTTTTTCCTAAGTTCATTACTTATCCGTTTCACTAACCTCGTCTTATCTTACGATATTCCTAAGTTATGTCGTAACTTTAAGACAAGTAAATCAATGACTTAGGAAGAAACTAAATATGACGACTGTAGATACATGTACAAGGATTCTTAAAGAGAGATACTGTGTGTGTTTAGGGAGAGAAAAAATTCAAAGGACTACTTGTATATGAATGATTGTGACCCTTCAGGCTATAACTGCTTTACTTTGTATGTAATAGATAAGAAAAGGATTTTAAGAATTGTCAGAGATGTGTCTGTATCACTGGTCAAAATTAATCCAAGGTATATAAAAATGTCCATTAGTGAAGTTGGAACTACAAATACATTGTACTTAAAGAATGTTTGATTTCTTACGAATTTGTGGATTTCCCAATGTTACTACAAAATGGACGGTGCACATGTTGGATTAATTCCCCTTCATTTAAAGAGCACGATTTTGTAAACAAAAAAATGCCACGCTATATACACTATTGTCTGTGTTACAAAACTTTGCATATAATTTGAACCATTATTACATATTTTTCAATCTAATAATATTACTAGTATTTGAATCGATATTTAGTATTTGAAAGATTAAAGTTTGATAAGGGAATAAATTTGTTCTCTTCAGCTCCTGATATAGCTGTCTCTCCAAAAATCGCTTGTATCTTATCTCCCATGGGAGGAAGGAGGCGTTGAAGTGCAAGGCTTTGACCATTTTCCCTCTGTTTCCGCTTAATGACATCCGCTTCTTTTCAACTCTTCCCCTGAACAAATGTATGTTGTGTTACAGAATATTAGGTCCCCCTGTCCCTTTTGGGCTGATTTGTCATGGTATAATTATGCATGAAGATTATAATAAATTTCCTTTTCTCAACTTTTTTCTGTTAGTGGTGTCATTTCCACAGTCGCGAATTTGGAATTTCTTATCTGTCGAAAAATTCTTATTTTAAATTACACAGTAACACGGACAACTAACGTGGGGCACTCATTCGCGAAGAAATAAAAAGAAAATAAGGCCTCTGTTAGATTGCTTGCCCTTCGAAGCAATTATTGTTTAAATTTATTCCATTTCCTAATTGAAACGATACTAGTAGAAAAATATATAGTAGGGGGGGGGGGAATAAACAATTGCGAACCTCCGATACCTTATACAAAGCAAAATAAAAGGCAAACATATAAAAGCACAAATTTAGTTTAAAAATTAGTTTAATTTTTTAATTTAATAATTTAAAAATTGGTTTAAAAAAATACACGTCTTGTGACTGGGGGTGGGGTGGGGGGTATGTGTTGTGTGTGAGAGAGGATGTGTGAGTGCTTAGTTGAAGTAGGAAACTTGTCAAGGTTAAACCATACTTCTGTCCAAGTCCTTTGAAAGTGAAGGGTAACCCCTAACCTCCCGACCCTCCCCTTTTCAAGCTGTTTTTTACTTGAAAAAACCTGATTCAAACTAAAGATTTTTACTCATAGACATCCTCCTAACAGTAATAATTGTAGATAGAGTGGAGAAGTTATTTCATTAGTCCGTAACACAACTTAAGATATGTCTTAGGATAAATTTAAGATAAGATTGTTTCGTGAAACAGCCGTAACAAATCTTAGGAACTTCCTAAGTTATAACTTAGGCATATCTTAAGTTATATCTTACGACATATCTTAGGAAACCTTTGTGAAACAGGTCCCAGATGAATACACATAACTATTTTTAGTACGTGTATCACGTGGTTTGCATTCTAGGTGAATATGGTTATGAAAGGTCCAGCGAGTTCACGCCAGTTTACAACGGGGAAAGCCATTTGGATTTTCAAATGTTTTTAATCACATGAATTGAGCGCATTGAAGTACAATTTTCTCCTTTCACACATAGATAATTTTTAATAAAATAAAGTGACCAACCGAGACAGAAAAATGTACCTACTTGCGCTCATGTATTTTAAGAGCTTTGTAAAGTTGGGCGGGAATAAAAAAATAGGGTCTTGATGTAAACAATGTACGCCTACCTGAAATTAAGTGATTTATCTTAAATATGGTTTTCTTATAAGTGGTACATATTTCAAAGAATTTAGTGTATGCAAAAATTAGTGTAAAATTCGAATATTTCTTTTTTGTCAATCTACCGAGGAGCCATTCGGCACATCACCCTTTGTAATTATGTTTAGTTGCTAACAAAAGAATTTCTATTTTAAAAAAGTTCACTTCAGGTATTTTTAAAATGCATTTTACAAGAAGAGATATTGAAGTGCTGGTCTATTATCGAGAAATCAACGTGAAGATTTATCACTGAGAAAACAGTTGGAAATGTAAATATTACACAATTAATGTGCCATCCTTACTGTTAGAATTATCCATTATGTAAACTTTTAAATAGGTTTACATAATACCTTTGGTACATGTAACCGGTCATGGTACGTTGCCTAGTGGTAGGGCTTTCGCTTCGTGATCGGGGGACCTGGGCTCGATTCTCGTTCGCCGCGCCGCATCAAACCTAAGACCTTAACATAGGCAGTGACTGTTCCTTCGCCAAGCTCCTGGCATGCGAAGTGAGAATCGCAGGTCTTTCGGATGAGACCTTAAAGACCGGGGTCCTGTGTCACGGTAATCGTTGGCACGATAAAGAACCCTCACTGCTCAATGGCCCTGAGTGCCGAGTATAGGTCTAAATGTGTTACCCTTTACAGGTAAATGGTGACATCTCTCTATTAGTGAAACATCCTCGAATGGGACATAAAAAACAACATACGTATTACTACGTAATTAATAATTAGTTACTAGTATTACTATTATATTATTAAGTAAAACAGATAATAATTAACAAATGCAATGCATTTCTTAAAATTTTGTTAAGGGTCAATAAAATCTTGGAGGTACAAAAATACTTGCTGGGGTCAACCTTAACTTAAAAATTTATAAAGTTAAGAGAAATACAGTCATCTACAGCCCTTTTCTGCAGTCAAGGACAAGGCACAAAGCCTTACAATAAAGTGACTAAAGAGTATCTCCTGCTCTTTATGTGTATTATTTTATTTTGGATTTCAATTTTGAATAATGTTTGTTATCTTCACATTTTATAGAAATTATAGTTCATTTGAGCAGAATATAAAAAGAATTAAAGAAACAAGACAATCTTGAACAAAAACAAGGCGAGCTTAAAAGTATATTCCCTAAACGAAATATTATATTATCAATTGACTATCTAGTCAATATAAAAAAAAACAAATCCCCTTTTCATTTAATTAAGTAAAGATTAAGTCGTTCGATTGTCAATAAACTAGTAAAGATAATAACTTCCCTGTCTCTTATCATAACAGAGAATTGCATATTGAAATAAAATTCAACGTATTATTAACACCTACCACTTTTCACCTAACATTTAACCTGGTAAAATGGGTCGTAAAGGAAGTATTAGCTGGAAGAAAGGGTTGTCGGTGGTAGAAGGGATGTAGATGATAGGAAGTTTTAGCTGGGAGGAAGGGT